GTCTACGACAAATATTTAGGACAAACTACAAAACAAAACTACATTAATATCCGTCTTCGGAGAGCATAGCTAATTGCTATCGGATGCTTCCACAGTTTACGGATAGAGGAGAGATTGGTAATTAAAAAAGCAGTCGCGGGCAGTCAGCGGGTCTGGGTGGGAGAGTCTGGGCTTAAACAGACTCTGGGTGGGAGAGTCTGGGCTTAAACGAGTGGCAATGATCCTTAGACAGACGAGGCCCGGGGTGTTATAAAAACCTGTACCTATCAATGTTACTGGTTGCATTCGGTGCACCAAGTGTATTCTAACTAGGCTTCGTTCATATCTGGGGCCACAACGAATATCAGTTTTCATTCTAACGAGGCTTTGTTGATACGTGGACGCCACAACGAATATTAGTTTTCATTACCGAGTCCTTGTCATGGTCGTATGGAACACAAATTCTGAAAAACCCCTTAAAAAACAACCAGCTCTATTTTAAATGAAGCTGGTTCGAATGACGTCTTGGCAACCTCAGTCAACAAAGCTACAAGTGCGAAGTTTATCAACAACCTCAACAGAAATTACCTTAAAATCGGGTCAAAAGATCTTTTAAAAGTTTGGAGTACATATCCATCATTGAAAACGTTGTGTCGAAGGAGACCTGTCCAAAGAAGCTTTTAAAGAAGTGCCAAAGCTGCAGGTGTCAATCTCCCGAACAATAGGGAATAATGTTGCAAGCAAACAAAGGAGTTGACACCGTCTTAACTCTTGTACCCATCTCAGGCCATCCCATCAGTTGATTGAATCATCAGCTAAAACCTTTACAACGGCTCCGTCACGGGGCCGACTATATGATACCCTACACTACTATGAGCATAAAGTAGAGCTCCCGAAGGTATATAAAGATCTGAGCTGATCTCGATAAAGCTTGGCACAGGTATTTTCCAGTTGTATCTGATGTTCGGTATCAAATATCATTAACACAAAATTGGATAAAACATATATATATGGGAGATATATCTGAACCGATTTTCACCAAAATCTGATGCACTTGCTTTTGGGCTGAATTCCGTCGGAAGTACCAAAATGCAGTCCATTTGGACTGAAATCGAATAAAAGTATATATGGGAGCTATATCAAAATCTGAACCGATCTCCACAAAATGTTAAACACTTATTGCATATTACGCATGTGAGGGACTTTAAAGCCCAAATCGGATAAAACATATATATGGGAGCTATAGCTATATCTGATCCCATTTACAACAAATTTGAAGTCTTTGTTTCTACGATGAATTTAGTCCATTTGGGCTTATATTAGCAATTTGGTGCACGATTAACCCGAAATTGGTTGAAGATATATATGGGATCTATATCCAAATCTGAACCAGTCTTGACAAAATTTGAAACACTTATTTCAGAGCTGTATCTGATATCTGGTACCAAAGATCATTGTTGTGGTGTGCATATGGTAGCGTAGCCCGTCGTCAAGAAAGTGGACGGAAGAAAACAGCAACATCAGCAGAAATCGTTCGAAAAGTGAAGAAGCGAATTGATCAAACCCCGCGTCGCAGTGGCCGAAAAATGGCTCGTGAGCTGCACATATCGCAATATTACATTCGGCAAGTATTGAAAAATGAGTTCGGGGTAAAACCATTAAAATTGCAAAAAGTGCCAGAACTTACACCGCAACAGAAAGGAAAGAGACTCAAAAGAGCTAAAGAGTTGATTCGGTTGGCCGCAAGTGGTAAACCGCCGAATTTGGTTTTCTCCGTCTCCGATGAGAAAACATTCGTTGTCCAGCAGTTTGTAAACAAACAAAATGATCGTGTTTATTTGCCAAAGAGGTCAGCTGAAAATGTGCATCTTCGGTTGACCCCAAAACTCAAGCGCCGGACATGGTGATGGTGTGGGCCGTCATAACAGCCGATGGTCGCTCTCCTCTCGTATTAATCAACCGTGGCATCTGAATAAATGCCGAAAATATTGCGAAAATATTCCTGAGGCTGTATTAAAGCCTTGGCACGCAATCATTTTGGCCGCAGACCTTGGACATTCCAGCACGCGCCACCCAAGAATGGTTACAAAATGAGGTTCCTAGCTTCATTTCCAGCGAACAATGGCCACCAAAATCTCCCATCCGTTGGACTATTGTGTCTGGAGTATTTTGGAAAGCAAGGTTGGCACTAAAAAAATACCAACATGTCGAGAATGGTTACAAAATGAGGTTCCTAGCTTCATTTTCAGCGCACAATGGCCACCAAAATCTCCGATCCGTTGGACTATTGTGTCTGGAGTATTTTGGAAAGCAAGGTTGGCACTAAAAAAATACCAACGTGTCGAGAATGGTTACAAAATGAGGTTCCTAGCTTCATTTTCAGCGCACAATGGCCACCAAAATCTCCGATCCGTTGGACTATTGTGTCTGGAGTATTTTGGAAAGCAAGGTTGGCACTAAAAAAATACCAACGTGTCGAGAATGGTTACAAAATGAGGTTCCTAGCTTCATTTCCAGCGCACAATGGTCACCAAAATCTCCGATCCGTTGGACTATTGTGTCTGGAGTATTTTGGAAAGCAAGGTTGGCACTAAAGAAATACCAACGTGTCGATAACCTCAAGCAAGCGTTTCGCCGGGAATGGGCCAAAATACCGCAGAGCAACATTTGGGCAGCGTGTGACGGTTTCATTGGCCGTTTGAAGGCCATAATTCGTGCTAAAGGTGATCAATTCGAACAAATCTAAACTTAATAAAACATTTTATGCTATTTCTGACATTTTTTTGTTTTCATTCAATAAAATTAAAAAAAAAAAATTAAAATTATGGCATTTGATTTTATTGAAGTTTTTTTTTTTATCTCACCATGTAGTTTTAAGACTGCTATATGTGGTACTATAGGTTCAATATTTTGATTTGATTTTTAGCTAAGACCTACATGAAGACAACCTGAGTAATTCTCTTAAGAATTACTGACAACTTCAATAGAATTTTCCCATGAAGAACTTTGGTAGTAACCAGTTTTGAATTTTGATTGCAACACCTTTACCTCAGAATTGAGCTGCGCTGGCAGCGTACATGATATTTTCAATACTCATGTTGTTGTGTTTTATACATTTTGGCTGTAAATATTTTTACAGTCGTAATAGCTAAAAATTTCTATGAAATTAACAAAAACTCAAATAATTACAGTTGGCTAGCCATTGGGTCTACCACAAAAAAATAACCAGCTATGTACATAATTATGTATTTATTAACAAAGTTGTTTCTTAACTTTCTGATATGTTTGGATGTGTGCGTGTGTGTATGTGTGAGTGTGGATTATCTTTTAATAGTTTATGCCTAAATGTAAAGAAAATGTTACGGTTTCAAAAGAAATATGATTAGCCAGCCAGATTGACGTGCCGTGTGAATGGAATATTTCGTTGAGAGCGTTTAATACACGCTTCATAAATTTTTTATTCGAATATTTTTAATAATACAAAAATGCAAACTGTTACATTTTAATTAATATTACAATATATACGAGGGGCGTGAGGAAATTTTATGAGAACTAAAGAGATTTTTTGGCGAAATCAAATGGAAAATGTGAATAAAAAGGGACAATAGCCAAAAGTGCAATGCCCTGTCGCATTTCAAAAATTATTGATTCTCGAAGTCATTCAAACGTCTAACGCCATAATTTTTACATTTTTTTAATTTTATTGAATGAAAGCAAAAAATGTTGGAAATAAGTTTAGAATTTGGTCGATTTATACGAGCGGAGAGCGAACATCGGCTGTCATGGCGGCCCACGCCATAATCAAGGCCGGCGCTTGAGTTCTGGTGGCCAACCGAAGGTGCACATTTTCAGCTGACCTCTTTGGCAAGTAAACACGATCATTTTGTTTGTTTACAAACTGCCGGACAACGAATGTTTTCTCATCGGAGAAACCCAAATTCGGCTGTTCACCTATTTCGGCCAAGCGAACCAACTCTTTAGCTCTTGCACTTTTTGGAATTTCATTGGCTTTACCCCGAGCTCATTTTTCAATATTTGCCGAATGGAATATTGCCACATGTTCAGCACACGAGCCATTTTTCGGCTACTACGATGCTGGTTTCGATCAAGTCGCTTCTTTTACATTTCGAAACATTTCTGCTGATGTTGCTGTTTTCTTTCGTCCACTTCCTTGACTTCGGGCTACGCTACCAGTATCACGGTAACGAGCGATGGTACGAGACGCAAAAGATTTTTTTACATTTAAATGCTGGAGTGCTCTAACAATAGCCACTTGTTGTTTTCCAGCGAAATATAAAGAAATCACGCTTGAATTCCTTCACGAATAACTTTTTTTCTGGAAAATTTTCACCAAAATGCCTTTGTACGCTTGTAAACAATATAATGAGCTATAACTGGATTAATTTTAACATCTGTCGGACGAGTGGCTTAAAAATGACAAAAGTCTGAACTTGGTTCCAGTTTTTTTCATCTCACCCAATTTTTTTCGCAATTTTCGCTCTAATTGTCCTAAAAGACGCATTCTTAAAAAACACCTATTGTTACCCTAATACCCCTTTAAATTACGCTCGACTAATTTCACAACTCTAGTACCAATATTAATTCAAACATATCGAAAATTCTTCTTTCATCGAATAAATTTCTCAAAATTCTACAAATATAACTCTTAAATTCATACAAACCCATCCCGAATGGGTCTTGATTAATATCCATGGATTTCCACGATCACAGATCTAATATTCTTCTCCTCATATATCAGACAAATCAAGAAACTCATGCAAAGTCCCTCAATTGTTTATTTCCCACTTGCACTCAAAGACTGCAATGACCACATGCCTAAAAGTATGCTTTGAAAATTGCAAAGACTTCCCAGTTTGCCAACTAAAAACATGACAGAAAATTAACTTTTATTTTCAAGAAAATAACAAAAAAAACGTTAACAGAAAATATAAACAAAATATATTTTTCAAGTTTCCGAAATATTAATTATCTTCCTCTCCTCTTCCCTCCTTATTTTACAGAATGGAAGTTCAAACGAATCACATGAACAATTCTCTTATATCACCTTTATCCGCCACAAATCCTCAAACGTTGACCACCAGCAACACATCAGCAGCATCATCGTCATCATCTCCGTCACCACCACAAGCAACATCGGCAGCAGTAACTCCACCATCTGTTGCCGCAACAGCTGTACATTTGCAAAAGGCCGCCATGCAAATGAACGACAGCCTAACACAGCTAAGTCGCAGCGATAGTCCAGCCAGTTCAAATTCTGAAATTGAAAAAGAATTACAGGATTTGGATTTGAATAGTTCCATGAATAGTGGCAGCATAAGTTTGGGTGCCGAATTAAATTGCAAATCGAATGGTTCACTAAGCGGTGCCTCATCATCATCAACACAAGGCCTTGTGGGAGGTGGTACAGCGGTCGTGGGCAATGGCGGCGCTGAAAATGGTGGCGATGCGTCTGCGGCAAAGACTGCAAACACCACAACGAATGGAAGTAGTAATGCAGCCAATAATTTGACCACAGCCGCAGTGGCTGCGGCAAATATTAAGAAACGCATTTCATCGAGTCGAACACCAACACGAAAAGCTAGACGAATAAAGTTCTATCGAAATGGTGATCGTTTTTATCCAGGCATAACCATTCCAGTTTCAAATGAACGTTATAGGTGGGTGTTTTTAACAATTCAAAAATATTTGAAAACTGATTCAAACATGGTCTTTTATTCTTAAAATTTCGCAGATCATTTGAAAGCCTATTTGAAGACCTAACGAGACTTTTAGAAGAAAATGTTAAAATTCCAGGTGCTGTACGTACCATATATACCATGTGTGGTAAAAAGGTAAGTCAATAAATTGATATATTTCTGTCACATGTAGTCCCAAAGCTGAAAATTCAGGTCATTAATTAACAAAGAACTAAAGACATTTCCCCTTTTTTACTTATTATGTAGAGAAGGAGAATTGTTGCAAACAATCTCAGATCCAATGTAAAGAGCAACAGCTTATGTGTAAATCCACCTAACACGGAGCCTAAACTCTTAGAATTTTCAAAACCTATGCTAGATGGAGTCACGCTTAGCATATCCTCATTACCTCGGTACTCGGTTCTCGACCATTGACAAAATTGAAAGAGAAATATCGAGAAGCGCGCGGGGAGGGCCTTAATCGCACTTTATTCTTGCAAAAAGTCTATATGTAAGAGCTGAGGACTAAAACCACATATAACAAGTTAAAAAGTATCAGTCGGTTTTGCCGACAGATGTATACCCTCAGCCAATGTTCGATTAATTATTTATATTTTGACTTTTGTTATGATTATTCAAATATTTGACCCTCTATGGAGTAGGACCAATATAAATATGATATAAACAAGTAAAAAAGTATCAGTCGGTTTCGCCGACATTTGTATACCCTCAGCCAATGTTCCATTATTTTAAAATATTTTGACTTCTGTTATGAATTTTCAAACTCTTGACTCTCATGGAGTGCGTTTGGAAAGTATGGGTCAATATTGTCCATTCCGTATCGGACATAAATGAATATGATTTAAATATTATTATGAATATATAAAAAATCGAACACTTATATCCAATTTATGGGAAATCATCGCAGGATTCTGGATGAGAGACATATATTTAGATATAGCAAGTTGTAAGGAATTGCTGAGTTGTTTCGCAAAATTAAATTTTTTGTCCCTTTGTGGGTGAGGTACCAGAGGGGGTTCACAAATATATATTCATCTTCACACCAGATCTTGTGTTAACAAAAATGGTTGTGTGTGTAAAATTTGAAGAGATTTTGATACTTTTTTCGTTTTCTTTGAGTGTTTTGTTTTTCAAAATTCTAAACCCTATGTGGGGGAGGTACCAGAATAAATGGTCCGACATCTCCCAACTTTATAACAGATCTTGTGTTGAAACAAATATTGAGATGTACCAAGTCTGAATGAAATCGAATGTTAATTTCTCGTTTTATGAGCTACGTGGATATTCAAAATTTTAACCATTTGTGGGTGAGGTTCTAGAAGGAGTGGACCGATATATCCCATTTTCACACCAAACATTTGGTTAATAAATATGTTTTGAAGTGTATAGTTTGAAGAAAAAAATACTTATGATCGTTTTGGTTATTCAAAACTTTGACCCTTTGTGAGGGAGGTACCAGAAGGAATGGTCCCGACCTTGGGTTAATAAAAATATTGTTATGTGTGTAATTTGAATCGTACATTTACATCACATTTTATAAGAGCTATAATTATTCAAAATTTAGAGCCTTTGTGGGGGAGGTACTTAATGGAGTGGACCGATATTGTCCATTTTCGCACCTGACCTATCACTGATGCAAATACTAGGTTTCGCAAAGTTGTAGCAAAATCGCATCATCCTTTCTCTTTTTGTGCAGTAAATAATTTTCTTTGAAAATATTGGCATTTTATGTGGGGGTATCAGATGGAGTGGACCGATAGTGCCTATCTCCGAACTCGATCTAAGTTTGACAATAATATTACGATGTAAAAAGTTTTAATCAAATCGGATGCTCCCTTCGAGAGTTATCGTGCGCACCAGCAGCCAGCCAGACATCTGGATGGACATCGCTAGATCGACTCCAAATGCCCTGAAACGGATTTGGTCCAAAGAGACAAAAGGTCTAAAACCGTTATTTCGATTAGGCACGTTTTGGCCGTATCAAATGATATATATATATACCCTCTCTATGACTGAGGGTATATGTATCCGATTCCCACCTATGGAGCTCTCGTTTGTTGGCACTCTTTAGGGAAACATCCTACAAGCGAAATATTGATAAAGTTCAAAGAGCCGCGACACTATTGATAACGGGTGTATTTCTGAGTACAACCCAAGCTGCACTGTTGAATCCCTCAAGTGTTTTGGTAGATAAACAAGCAGTAGGGTGGGGACTAAGTCTCTGAGAATTCGCCCTTGGACATTCTTCAAAACCATATAGCTGCCTATACCGACGGGTCTTCTGCGAAAGCCTGAACATCAGCTACTCCTGAAATTTAACAACAACAATAGCGTTTTCCAGGCGGAAATTTTTGCTATAAAAAAACCATGGACTTGTTGGCAAATCAATAGTCAATGGTCCTGAAAGCGATTATTTCATGTACCATTTAATCTATACCAGTTTTGGAGTGCAAGAATGCATTGGAAAAAGTTCAGTCGTCCATCAACAATTGATAATGAAGTCGACAGGTCACGAAATTTAAGTTTTTTCAATAATTTCAGGGAATATGCAGGGTATATTATTAAAAATAGAAGATTATTATGGACGTTTCGAAAGTTTACTTCACCAGAGTAACCATAAATAGAGAAGACAAGATCCTCTGCTTGACATATTTTGAAAATTTTGGATTAATATTCCTTGGAAACCACAAGCGAGTCAACAAACTGATCGTTTTAGCCCCTTTTTTTCAATATATATTTAAAAACTTCATTTAAAAGGGATGGTAGCATGACAAAATACTACACAAAGTTATTTACCATGAAATTCTACAGGTCCTAGAAGACGTCAAAAGTATAAATCTTACCTAAACGACAGGAATTTATATAAACTAAAAACACATTTTAGGATTTAAACCGTACTTTGTATGAGTTTATGGCTAAAACCTCCTACAAAGCATCATTTTTTCAAGGATTATGTCAAAGACAAAATTATTCTTCATCAAATTTCACTATGAGTCACCAAAGAAAGGAAATCTATATTTCCATTGTATATCAAAAAAATTATTGCATCAATATTCCCAAAAAAAAAAACGAAAATATTTCAACTTATTTCTTTATTAACTTTTCCTTGGACTTTTTTCGATTTGATGCCTGAAAATATCGTTTTAGGCGGAAGGTATTAAAATTAGATATGTTCTACACGAAATTTCACTATAAATCTCAGAATAAACCATATATCTAAGTTGAATAATTTAAAAAAAAATACATTCCAAATTAATGTACTACAAGTTTGAACGATGTATTTCCTTTTTTGCTGTTAATAGAACACGTATCCAATCCAATACGAAATCTCCCTCATTTTTTGAGGAAAGTATTAAAGGAAGTATTATTCTAGACCTAATCTCATTGTGAGTCTTTGAAGAAAAGAAATGTGTATAATCAATATGTAACATGAAAAAATGATCGAACATTTAATAAAAAAATTATTTTTAAAAAATTTGGTACTTTTTCGGTTTTGCTGTAAATTTTTGCATTATTTCACTGTAGGTAAGTTCAGAAAGGATTTGAGGTTACTCGTTTGTAAATCAGCACAATGAAGTTTCGGGTTCTAAGGTCGAACTTTGTTAAGTTCTTTCTATAGTTTTGATCACATACAAAGGGACCTCTGTGTCTTCCACTCTTTCAAATATGTTAATTTTCCTTTGCTTTTTTTCAGATCTCTACATTGGAAGAACTTGAAGATGGTCAAAGCTATGTGTGTTCCTGTAATAATGAGAATTTCAAAAAAGTCGAATACAATACAACATCACAACCACTTACCAATCTATCGATATCCAACAAAACATCAAATCGTCTATCCAAATATTATCGGCCCTCGTCCCCATTGAAGAATGGTTCAACAAACACCAACGCCATGGGCAATGGCAGCGCATCGGCCACAACCAATACAAATGGCAGTCCAATTCTGGTGAGAATGAGTGAACGCGACAGCATTGTACATCCCCGTATTGTTACACTGATACGCAACGGTACACGGCCACGTAAACTTATGCGTCTGCTATTGAATAAACGTAACAGTCCCAGTTTCGATCATGTCCTGACGGCAATAACGCAAAAAGTCAAACTCGATACGGGTTATGTACGTAAAGTGTTCACACTGTCTGGTTCGCCAGTTACAAATCTAGCCGATTTCTTTGGTCCCGATGATGTGTTCTTTGCCTATGGCACAGAGCGTGTTAATAATCCGGATGATTTTCGCCTCGAAACCGACGAACAGAAGGCACTGCAGGCAATACGTAAAAATTTACGTACCGCTGGCACCACATGTAAAGGTCCCAAACCAAAGATGCCTGTAAAGAGCAAGAAGACCTATGATACCTCGGCTTTGGACGAAGAGAAGCTGTTAAATGAAAGTGGAATCGATCCCCAAGAGCTGCCAGCTGTTATTCGTGAACGTTATGTCTTGGGACAGATAATTGGTGATGGTAATTTTGCCATTGTCCTAAAGTGTAAAGATCGTCAAAGTGGCTACACATATGCTTTGAAGATTATCGACAAAAGCAAGTGCAAAGGCAAGGAACACTATATCGATGATGAAGTGCGCGTCATGAAGAAATTATCACATCCACATATTATATCGCTAATAATGGATGTTGATCAACAGGCTAATATGTATTTGGTGCTTGAGTATGTTGGTGGTAAGTTGTTATAATTTGTTGTTATTCGAATTCTTCTTACCAATGTTTAACATTTGATGCCTTGTTTCCCGCAACTAGGTGGTGATTTATTTGATGCTATTACACGTGTTACCCGATTCTCTGAAGATCAGTCTCGTGTCATGATCAAACATTTAGCATCTGCTATGGCTTATCTACATTCCATGAGTATTGTACATCGGGACATTAAACCAGAGAATTTATTGGTAAGTTATTTTTTCTTTCCAGGCATAGAAATGTTAAAGAAAAACGATTAAAATAGTATCAGTCAGTTTTGCCAACATATGTTTACCCCCGGCCTTGAGTTATGATTCTTAAATAATTGTGTTGTTGTTGTTGACTCTTTATGGGGGGAGGTTCAGTTGGCCAATATTGACCAATTCATATCTGACCTAAGGCTGATATAAATATTACAACGTGCCAGATTTGGACTATATCGGCTTCTTCTTTATACTTTATATGAGATATGTGCAAATTTTTGGAAAATGTGGAAATATGTGGGAGGTAACAGATATAGCGGACCGAAGTATTCCATTTCAAACATATATATATCCTATTTTATGCGAAATCATAAATTTCGATAAATTACATATTCATATCAGGTTTCTCGTTAAGAGAAATATTTAGATGTAGCAAGTTGTAAAGAATCGCCGACTTGTTTCGCAAGTTATGACAGATATAAGTATTGAAAATTGTGATCCTTTGTTCGTGAGGTCCCAGAAGGGGTTGGCAGATATATATCATCTTCACAACAGATCTTGTGTTAGCAAAAATATTTGGATGTGTGAAATTTGTTTTTCAAAAAGTTGAACCCTATGTTGGGGAGGTGCCAGAAGAAATGGACCGTTCTCTACGATCTTTACAGCGAATCTTGTGTTTATGGAAATGTTGCGATGTGGCAAGTCTGAATGGAATCGGATTTTAATTTCGTGTTTTATGAGCCTTATATGTTAAAAATTTTGACCCTTTGTGGGGGAGGTACCAGAAGGAGTGAACCGATATATCCCATATTCACACCAGACTTTGGGTTAATAAAAATATTGTGGTGTGTGGAGTTTAAAGAGAACCGGAGGCTTATTTAGGATTTTGTGATCGTTTTGGTTATTCAAAACTTTGACCCTTTGTGGAGGAGGTACCAGAAGGTTAATAAAAATATTACGATGTGTGTAATATGTTTATTTTCGATTTTATAATTGGTTTGGTTATTCAAATTTTTGACCCTTTGTGGGGGAGGTACCAGAAGAAATGTTTCGATCTATACCATCTTTATAACAGATCTTGTTGATGTAAATACTGAGATGTACCAAGTCTAAATGGAGTCGGATATTAAATTCGCGTCTTATGAGCTTCATGGATATACAATATTTTGGACCTTTGTGGGTGAGGTACCAGAAGGAGTGGACCGATATATCCCTTCTCCACACCAGACCTTGGGACAATAAAAATATTGTGATGTGAGTAATTTGAAGAGAACCGAATGCTTATTTTGGGTTTGTTTTATGATTGTTTTTTTTTACTCTACACTTTGATTCTTTGTGGTGGAGGTACCAGAAGTACCGATCTCTCTTGAGAGCCGATCTCTACCATCTTTATAACATATATTGTGTTGATGGAAATATTGAGATGTACCAAGTCTAAATGGAATCGGTTGTTAATTTCGTCTTTTATGAATATTCAACATTTTGATTCTTTTGTGGGGGAGGTACCAGAAGAAGTGGGTCGATATATTCCATCTTCACAACAGTCCTTGGGTTGATAAAATTATTGTGATCTGTGTAATTTGAAGACAATCGGACTCTTACTTCACCTTTTATAAGAGTTATAATTATTCCAAATTTCGACCCTTTGTTTGCTTTTCGACCCTTTGTTTGCTTTTCGCACCTGACATTGCACTGATGCAAATATTAGAATTTGCAAAGTTTGAGAAAAATAGGATTTTCTTTTCTCTTTCTGTGCAGTAAATGATTTTCATTGAAAATATTGACATTTTGTGGGGGAGGTACCAGAAGTAGTGGATCGATATTGCCCATCTCCAAACTCCATCAAAGTTTGACAATAATATTACGATGTACCAAGTTTGGATGAAATTGGATACACACTTCGAGAGTTTTCGTAAGCACCAGCCACGCAGACAGATGGATGGACATCGCTAGATCGACTCCAAATATCCTGAAAGGGATTTGGTACAAAGAGACGTAGGGTTTAAATTGGTTATTTCGATGATTTACGTTTTGACCGTATAAAATGATATATACCCTCCCTAGCCGTCGAAAATATTAACCCTGAAGCGAGTGAACACAGGGTTATGGTTAAAACTTAATTTAAAAGGTTGACGTCAAAGACAAAATTATTCTACATGAAACCTCACTAAGAAAAGAAATCTCTATTGTTTTTGAAACAAATACTTCCATCAAAGTTCCCAAAGAAACCGGAAATAATAACTTTTTTTTAAGTTTTCCTCGGATTTTTTTTGACTTGACGCCTGAAAGTTTTATAAAATTGCGTTGTAGGCGGAAGAAATATTCTGCACCATTTTTCACTATAAATCTCAGAATAAACCATATATCTATCTTCAATAGTTTTAATGAAAAATATTCTCAAAATTTATGTACTAAAAGTGAAAATTATGTGTTGGCTTTTCTTACTATTAATTTAGCACGTATCCAATTCGAGTCAAAATCTCCCTTTATATTTATTTACAATTCTAATGCACAATAGCCAGTCTGGGCTGTGGAGAATGTCAAGTGGACTAGATAATACTCATTTTAAGATTAAACCCAAAAGGGTTCTTTGGGCAACAGTTGTTAAGGTCAATACATAATTCAATCAGAAGAACGTCACGCCCTGTCCTCTGTGAAAATGACACAAATGTAACTCTTTATTACTATTTGCATATGTTCCATTTCCTCTTTTAATTTCAGGTCGAGCTTGACGATAGTGGCAATGTAATTGTCTTAAAATTGGCCGATTTTGGTTTAGCATGTGAAGTTACCGAGCCACTGTATGCTGTATGTGGTACACCAACATATGTGGCTCCGGAAATCCTAATGGAAACTGGTTATGGTTTAAAAGTATGTATTGCACACAAAACCCACAATTGATGAAATGTTAAAATTAATCCTTTAATTTCATTTGTTATCTCTTGCAGATCGATGTTTGGGCAGCCGGTATTATATTATATATACTCCTGTGCGGTTTCCCACCATTTGTTTCGCCCGACAATCAACAGGAACCGCTATTCGATGCAATTATCTCGGGTATTTATGAATTTCCCGATCCCTATTGGTCGGGCATTGGCAATGGGGTGCGTGATCTTATTGCCAATATGTTACAATCCGATCCAGATGTACGTTTTACCAGCGAAGATATCCTCGACCATTATTGGACAATGGGTAATGATGACATTATCAATGAATACAGCAGCTGAATGATAAACGATGGTGAATAGAAAAAGAAATAACAAGAACACAGCTGTAAAACCAATTCCCGCTCTAAGTTCGTTTATTAAGAAACAAAATACACACACACACACCTTTATGTAATGTGGCTGGTTCAAAACTAACATTTTTGTGTTAAGATGTCAGAGGAAACTAAAAGAAAAATATACATGCATATATATAGGAGAAAAAAAAAACAAGAACAATTAATAACAAAAAAAATTGAAAATAATAAGCCTGTAGTATTTTTTTCTTATTTTATAATTATTAAATAATTTTTTATTTTAATTTTTAATATTGTATTTAAAAACAAAACGCTATTAAATTCTTCATACCTTTACAAAGGAAACCACAAATGCAAAACAATCTATATTCCATTTTAAATAAACGAAGATAAAATTCAAAACAAAAAAATAAATAAATTATTGTTGAAAAATACATAATTAAAGCAAACGAAACGAGCAGCAGAAGAAATAGAAATTCAAAGCAGAACAGACCTTATGAAACATTAACAACAACAACATTTGTATTTTTTTAAAACTAAATATATGTAATTTTTTTTCTAAACAATATATATTTCTACAACTTCTACATATATACATATAATCTATCCATCTATCCAATATCTATATATTTTTAAGTATTTAATTTTAATTATTTTTTATGAAAAATATATTTTAAACAACTCTTTTTTAAAACTGTTTCTTATTGAGAGCAACAACAACAACAGCATAGATTTTAAATCACAACACTATTATTATGATGATAATTATTAAACAAGAATCCAACAACAAAACAATATTTGTGTTTGTACAAATAAATGAAATTTGTTTAACCAGAAGTATTTTCTCTTTATCCAAATCCACACAGAAAATATTAAATGTAACAGTAAAACAAATTTAATACAACTTGTATTTCGATTTTAAACTCAAAATTTTCATAACAATATTCGTCGTTTTGTACAAAATAATAATAATTCAAGGGAAATTAATATTCAAATTTGTATTACTGTTATATAGAAACTTCATATATGTTATTTAAATATATTCAATTCTTTTTTAAACAAACTGTTTTTATTTCAATTTAATTTTTTTAAATAGTGCTAGCCAAGCTACAAAGAATATGGAGTTTGCGAGTTTAAGAAATCTATTTAGTAGCCTTTTTGAAAAATTTCTTAAAAAACTGCCTAGATTTTGGGACAGTAACGAATGTCTAATTTTCAAAACATCTAATTTTTTATACCTTCAGCCCTATGGCTAAAGAGGATATATACCATTTGATACGGCCAAAACGTTCCTCATCGAAACAACGGTTTTAGACTCTAGGTCTCTTTGAACCAAATCCGTTTCACGACATTTGGGGTCGATCTAGCAATGTCCGTCCGTCTGTCTTGTTGTAGCAGCTCATACTGCTGTGTTCGATCTGACTCTTCTCAATCGGGTTCTGCCTCTAAGTCCAGTCTCAAAAAGGATGCAACCTGTACGGGTTGAGTTCACAACGAGACTGGAGTTTGGCTAGACAGCGAAAAAGGTGCATCGTGTCATGTGGTCCTGTGCCACAAGCTGGGCAGATGTTCTGCACATCGCTGTCGAACCGGGCCCAATAGGAATTGAGGCGGCTGCACCATCCGGATCTTAGTTGAGCCAACACAACTCGGGTTTGTCGGAGCAGCTCTCGTTCTTCAGTTGCGATGGGAGGGGGATGGTCTCCTAATACAGTATTTACTTTATATCCTTCCATTACTTCTGAAACCGCTTTAGAGTGAATACTATTCAGTCCCGCTTTAAAGGTCTGTTGATCCAGAGGCTCTCTCTTATACCTTTGTACCTCTCTCTCTAGATCATGAAGGTCTTTCCTTACGTGTCTGGGCGGAGGTTGCCTATCCACCAGATTGTGATCCGGATGGCTCTGTCGATAACACCCAAATAGGTATTGCATTGACAACATTTTATTATGCTGTCGCACCGGTAAGACCTTACCTTCCTCATGTAGTCGACAGGTGGACAGGTGTAATGAGAAGGAACCCTTTTGCTGTTCTAAGGGCGGCATTCTGGCAGGACTGAATAATTTCCACATTGCGTAGCATTAACGTTGGCGGACCACACCGGAGCCGCATAGTTATCACAAACCGGCCTATTGCGTTGTAAGAGGTCAACAAAGTTTCCTTATCAGCTCCCCAAATGCTGCCGGCAAGAAACATGAGAACCTTGTTCCTACTTCTTATCTTATCGCAGCTAGCTGTGGCATGCGCGGATGACTTGAAAAGGATTTGGAATGTGACACCTAAGAGCTTGGGGTAGTTGATAGTCGGAATTACAACTCCATCGACATACACATTCAAAGATAGCCTCATCTCCGCAGTCCATGTGGTGAAAAGTGTGGCCGTCGATTTAGTGGCGGATATCTTCATATTCCTCGCAGTGAAAAAAAAGTTAGATCAACTAAGTAGGCATATCTCATCTACGATGGGTCCGGACGCCACGATCGTACAATCATCTGCGTACGTTATTTTTAGGAAGAGGTTAAACACTACCGGAGATATCACCCCACCTTGGGGAACTCCCTGTTTCACTCTGCGGTAGCTCGACTTCTTGTTTCTGAATTCAAGGTTCGATTGGCGTCCACACATGTAGTTTACAATCCAACGTTTCAAATTTGGGCGGAGGGCGGTGCGGTTAATGTCCTCGAACAGTGTGGCATGATTGACAGTATGAAAAGCTTTTGATAAATCAAGTGCCACCTTAACTGTTCTGTCACACGGCCTTTTCTGGTTGAGTCCTCTGCTGACATGTGTGGAAATGGCGTGTAAAGCTTTTGTTGTGCTGTGCAATTTTCGGAATCCGTGTTGATGATCAGCTACTGGGAAACACTCTCTTATGCTGGGGAGGAGTAAAGCCTCAAGCATCTTTGCAACGGATGACAAAATTGATATCGGCCTGTATAAATCACTTTTGCAGGCCTCCGTGCCTGGCTTCAGTAGCGGGACCACCCTGCCCATTTTTTCAGGCAAAGAAAACTAAATAATGATCTAAAGATAATATATATCTGCCAATCCCTTCTGGTACCTCCCTCACAAAGAGGGGAGGTATGATGCGTTATTTATACAAGAGTGCATAAATTCATTTTGATCGATTTTTAGATATTTAATGCAAAAACTTGGCCCTTTTGGTTTCTATCAACATTTTCATTCCCATCAATTTTAGATCACAATTATTTCGACATCGAACGTAAGAATTTGGACCCTGATTTCTCAATATGCATCACTTTTAATTTATTACTTTTAATAAATGTTCATCCTAGAAGTATGCAACAATTTTCAGTATACAATTTACCACAATATTTTATTAAAATACAAATTTAAGAAAAAACAAGTGCTGGGAATGATAAATGGAACTAAGTCCTAATATCCTATTTTCTCCTATTATCCTGTTTTCTTTAGGCAGTTGCGTTTTGAAAAAAAATCAGAAAACATAGTCAGATAAAGAAAATTACTCCCAAAAAATCTTTATCTATCTATGTTTATGGCACACAGCATCATTTCGATTTTCTGATATTTCTTTATTATATATGGCGGACCACAGCTTTTTTTGATATGAATGTACCCTACTTAATTGTTGCTCATCTAAATTTGTTAACCTTTTATGCTATTATTATTATTTTAATTTAATATAAATAGAAAAGATAACACCAATTTCAAATTTATAAATAAAAAACAAAACAAATATATAGACACACAAACAATATAAATGAAAACACAAACACAATGTTTAAATAAAAAAATATATAATCATATTAAAAAAAGTGAACCATAGTTTTAAGGAGGATGAATAACAAGAAATTTCAATTATTATTATTATTTATTATTATGTATTTGCATATTTTACACAAAACTGAAACCCTAAGGAAAACGGCAAACAAATTATAACATTGAGAAAAATGCGGCTATATAAATTATATACAAAAGAAAAACACGAAATATGAAAAAAGAAAAACAATAAATTTCAACTAAAAAATTTGAGAATTAGTTTCCTTTGGAAGATGGAGAAATGAGGTAAAATCTTTTTGAATGGATGATTGAGTATAAAAAAAGATTTTGAAACGAAACGAATTTTTGTCTCAAGAGGATTTGAGAATAACGGATATTCTTATTTTAAATTTGGGTAAAATATATCATCAATTTCAGTTCATAGACAATTTTCTTGTAATTTTACTGTCCAATAGCCAGTCTGGGCTATGAAAAATTCCAAGTGGATTTGATAGTAAACGGTTTGTATATCTAAACCCGAAAAGAGTTTTGGATTTTTATGCCAAACTTTTTTAAGGTCTTTATAACCCAATATTTTGAGATATGTTTTTCAACATTTAATATAGAGTTTTCAACATTTATATAGACTTTTGGATTACTTTAAGGATCATTGGTTTAAAAATTGGCTATTGTTAATATCAATATATGTCCGTGTTTTGGTTCAGCCCTTGCATAAATATACCCTCTGATATTAGTTAATGCCATGGGTTTGGTCATATTTTCCAATCTATTTACCTGATATTTTGTATTTTGATTTCATCGGGGGTAAAAAAAATCCCAATATTGGATACCGATACTTTTATTTATAAAGGTTTCATTATCTGAATGTATTTTTATTTGGTCATCGTAACGACTTCTTGATTAGTGATCAAAAAAGAAGTAAGTACCACTGCTTATAATTTTAATATTTTCTTTTTTATTTTTTCAAGCATATATTCGTATAAAAATACACATAAAGCTTAAATTGTTATGGGGTAAATAAAAATTATAGCTAACATTTTTGTTTGTAAATACAATATTATGTTTCATTTTTTTATTTAATAAATAAATAGGCTAAAGACTATTACATTTTGTTGTAGTTTTGTCTCTTCTCTCAGAGTGGATGAGTGTGAGTGAGTACAAATGTATTATTTTTCTCTTTTCAATTACGATTAATCACAATTTTCTACATTAACTGTACACACATCACAGCGCTCCTGTATAAATCGCCCGGGCACGCAGGGTTCATGGTATATATGACCACATTGAAATGCCACAATTGCATTGCGCGGTATTGCATCCTTGCACAAAATATGACGACCACATTTCGGACATGCACTGTCATAGCTGATGCCAATGCCACGATGTTGTTGCCGCACTATCTGCGCATGGGTATTGAAATAGTCCAGCAATTGGATTTTGTTAATATCCTGCTGTATGTTAACCTGGAAAAAGGTACCGAGATGAATAAATATAAATTTAATGGCAGTTCAAGACAAAATGTAAATAACTGGGAATATGTTCAGGTTTAAAATATTTTAAATCTCTCAAATACCCAAAATAATCAAACAAAATAAGGCAATATATTGGAAAGTGGAACACATGTTTGTCATAGAAAAAAATTACCTGCAAACGATAATCCATCAGCAGTTTGTACAATGATTCTCGCAATTTTGGTATTATTTGACCCATTTTTATTTTATTTATTAAAAATTCGGGATTAACATATCCTGCAAAAAATGTAATAAAAGTGTTATCCTTTTTGAACGAAAATGCAACAAAAATTTCAAAAATATATGAAACATACTTTGATTATTTTTTTAACCTACACATATAAAAAATACTGTTGCCTTTTTCTCAAGAAGCGGGGACGTTTCCTGAGTTTCTAATATGACATCAAATGTTGCAACACGTCTTAACCACACTTTTATACCCTCCACCTTGAAAAGGAGGTTATATTAACTTTGTCATTCCATTTGTAACATCCCTAAATATTCGCCGTACACCCAATAAAGTATATATATTCATAATCAGCATAAAATTCTAAGTCGATGTAACGGTGTCCGTTCCTATGTCTGTTAAAATCAGGATGCATTTGATTATTTGATCTAGAGCTTCAAAATCTGGCACAACAATGTGTATTATGTCTAGGATAGTTGATATTGAAAATCAGATACATCGGTCCACGTTTTGTTATAGTCGCCTTAAATGGCACCTTCTGACATTCGGTATTTTTATGATTTTCACTACATTTTTTTACAGTTTTGTCTAAAAATTGGTATTTTGTAGTCTGGAATTGGTTCTAGCTCCGGTGGCGAAACATTGTATGTATAGGGTAAAATGAAAAAACTGCAACCAACTTCAGACTGCTGTCATTCCTAAGTCACTCGTCCGACAGCTTTTAAAATTATTCAAAAGCATTTTGATGAGAATTTTTGAGAAAAAAAGTTATTCATGATGGAATTCAAGCGTGATAGTGTGATTTCTTTATATTTGGCTGGAAAACCACAAGTGGCTATCGTTAGAGCACTCCAGCGTTTAAATGTGAATAAATCTTTTGTGTCTCGTTCCATCGCTCGTTACCGTGATACTGGTAGCGTAGCCTTGAAGTGCAGTGGACGGAAGAAAACAACAACATCAGCAGAAATGGTTCGAAAAATTAAAGAAGCGATTTGATCGAAATCCGCGTCGCAGTGGCCGAAAAATTGGCTCGTGACCTGAACATATCGCAATATTCCATTCGGCAAATATTGAAAAATGAACTCGGGGTAAAGCCATTGAAATTCCAAAAAATGCAAGAACTTACACAGAAAGAAAATAGACTCAAAAGAGCTAAAGAGTTGCTTCGCTTGGCCGAAAGTAGTGAACTGCCGAATATGGTTTTCTCCGTCTCCGTTGAGAAAACATTCCTTGTCCAGCAGTTTGTAAACAAACAAAATGATCGTGTTTACTTGCCAAAGAGGTCAGCTGAAAATTACACCCTCGGTTGTCCGCCAGAACTCAAGCGCCGGCCATGGTTTGGGCCGCCATAACAGCCGATGGTCGCTCTCCGCTCGTATTAATCGACCGTGGAATCAGAATAAATGCCGAATATTATCGCGAAAATATTCTGGAGGGTGTATAACAGCCCTGAGCAAACATTTTGACCATCGCACTCAGCACGCTCCACCCAAGAATGGTTACAAAATGAGGTTCATCGCTTCATTTCCAGCGCACAATGGCCACCAAAATCTCCGATACCAATCCGTTGGACTATTGTGTCTGGAGTATTTTGGAAAGCAAGGTTGACACTAAAAAAATACCTAAGTGTCGATCACCTCAAGCAAGCGCTTCGCCGGGAATGGACCAAAATACCGCAGAGCAACATTCGGGCAGCGTGTGACGGTTTTATTGGCCGTTTGTAAGCCATAATTCGTGACCAATTCTAACAAATTTAAACTTATTCTAAAATTTGATGCTATTTCCGACATTTTTTGCTTTCATTCAATAAAATTTAAATGAAAAAATGTAAAAATTATGGCGTTTGACTTTGTTACAGGTTTTTCATCTCACCCTGTAGGTCATAATAGGTTCTAGCACCGCTGGCGAAACATTGTATGTATAGGTCCACGTTTTTATGTAGCCCCTGATATTCGAAATTTTGACGATTTTTGCCACATTCTTCCACGGATTTGTAAAAAAATTGGTATTTGTAGTTCGCATTGGGTTCTAGGTCCGGTGGCGGAACATAGTATATATAGGTCTACGTTTTGGTATAGCCCCTATGTAACGATACCTCCCGATATTCGGTATTTTGAAGATCTGCGACACATATTTTCTAGGATTTGTCTAAAAATTGGTATTTGTCGGTCATAACGGGTTCTAGCTCCTGTGGCAAAACATTGTATGTATAGGTCCACGTTTTTGTATAGCCTCCATATTACGGTACCTTCCGATATTCGGTATATTGATGATTTTCGCCACATTTGTCTACGAATTTGTCTAAAAATTGGTATTTGTAGTTACTAATGGGTTCTAGCTCCGGTGGAAAAACATTGTATGTATAGGTCCACGTTTTTGTATAGACACCATTTAACGGTAACTCCCGACATTCTGTATTTTGATGATTTTTGTCACATTTTTTCACGGATTTGTCTGAAAATTGGTATTTGTAGTACATAATCGATTCTAGCATTGGTGGCAGAACATTGAATATTTAGTTCCACGTTTTCCTATGGCGCACATATAACGTTACCCACCGAAATTTGGTATTTTGTTAATCCCAGTCACATTTACCCACGAACTTGTTTCAAATTTGGTATTTAAGAAGAAGGGGTAGATGACAATCCTTGAAGTATAAAATTGTCTATAGAAGTTTCAGTTCTGGTATGGCACCCATACAACGGCCTCACCAACCACTTTATGGTTTTTTGAAATTCAGATACTTTTATATAACAATGTTTTCTTTACCCAAAAGTGGAGGGTATTAAAAGTTCGAACGAACTTTTGTTTTTTTTACTTGTTTTACATATTTCAATCTATCAATTACTTGTCAGTTTCCTGGCTCTGAGATTAGTGTTTATTCACTTTCACCTGCTACATCTGCTGAGAAGTTAAGCACTTCGGCCAGCGATCAGGAAAACGGTCTGAGAATAGACCAGACGGCAGTCCCCACTTTATGAGTATGACATGATAATTTGCTTCACAAAATGTGGAGAACATAATTTTCTCTGCTTAAAACCGCAATACTTACCAATAATGCCATCCAAAAGTTTTGTTACAATTTCGGGATTATCTACAGACTCATCGATTAACAAATTCCACAGATCTGAGTCATCATGTTCTTTACAAAACTCTATTGCCATTTTTATGTCTTTTATCTGGATGGGTAATAAATTGAATAGAATTTAGGACATTAGGACAAAGTCGAAATTAATTGCCTACCTTATGTATAATAATATTTAAAGCTTCCACCACATTGCCCATTTGTCCCAGTAGATATACCGTTTCCGGGTAAAACAATTGACTTTTACAAATATCCAATGCTTCTTGTATGGGATAATGTTTGGAACGTCTTAGAAATGGTAACAGTTTGGAACGATTATACTTTGCATATAAACTAACCAATTTCCAGTGGAATGTGCCACGGCTATCGACCTTGTCTAGGGCATCTAAATACTAAAGGCAAAAATGTTATTATTGATTTTAAATGAAGCATTTAACAATACTTACCAAATACAAATACTCTTGATTCGATTCCAATTGTTGAACAACAATTTCCGGGGGTATTTTGTTTTTATCTAACAATATTTGAAAGGCCCGTTCTTGGTCGATTTGTATGAGTGGCATTATCATTTTGTGTATAACACCATAGAGATCATAGCGCCGGATCAAATTGAAAACATCCTTATTCTCCAATCTATATGGAATTATAAAAAAACAAAATATTCTGTTTGCCTAAAATTTAAGTACAAAAACTCACTTCAAATACATCCGTAGTGCACTTTCATATTCCTTTTTGTACGAATACAATATGGCCAAAGCCTCCAACAGTTCGTTGGCATATTGCTTGTGAAAATTATCATGTATGGCATTGATGACCGCCGAACAGTCGTACAAATTTGATGGCCACTCTTTGATTAAGGTTAGAAATCCTTTGACGTCATTTTTTAGAAACTCATACAACACCATTTCATAGACATGCGGATCCAGTTTACAATCATCTGAGGTGGGTAAATAGGCACTAACGGATCTCAGCTGCTTGTGTTTGACAAATTTAAAGACTTCCTCTTCCCACAATGCCTTGTTGTTACCCAAAACTCTGAGACACAATTTCCCTGCTGTATCGTAGTGTTTTTGTGACAACAAATGATTGATATAAAGTCTGAAAATAGGATCCGTGATTTTGTGTACCGTTAAGAGACTAATGCTAAAACATTACCTTGCTACAGGTAAAACATTGCCACCATGCAATGATAGAATTTCCATGGCTTCTTCAAACTTTCTGCAAAGGAAAATAAGAAAGGTGAAATACATGTTCAGTAACCTGTTGTTAATATTTTAGAATTATTAGATGTAAAGGCAGGGTGTTAGTAAATAACTAAATCCTGTATAAATCAGTACCGGACACGACCCTCTTACAAATTATCTCACCAGCCTGATTTCTCTTATAGCACGATTAGAAAATAACCGGTTTAATCCACATTATAAGGATTTATTGCTGAACCGGATTCATTCCATCAGATTTAACATAAAACAAGTAAAAAGCAGTATGTTCGGCCGGGTCGAACTTTGGAACGAATTTGAAAATTTTCAAAAAAAAAATAAAATCCGTTAAAATTTTTTAAAAATCCTAAAAAAATAGCCGTTATTTTGGAGTCTATGCGAAGACTTGGACATGCATAGGCCACTTTTGTCATGAGCCATTGAAATATTCAAAATCGTCAAAATACCAAATATAGGGAGGTACTAATACCTAGACCTAGACCTGCTTACGAAATTTTTTGTCATAGGTGAATAACGTCACAAAAAAACATTAAAATATCGAATATAGGGAGGTACCGTTATACGGGGGATACACGAAAACTTGAATCTGCATACGAAATTTTTTGTCATAGGCTGTATTACCCATTACAATCTCTAAATAAGAAATTTGAAACAACTCCGGTGATAATATCGCTAAAATCATCAAAATATTGAATATTGGGAGGTACCGTTATATGGAGGCCATACGAAGACGTTGCAATTTTTTGTCATAGGCTGTAGTACTCTTTACGAATTCGAAATTTAAAACAACTTCGGTGAATAATGTCCTTAAATTCGTCAAATATCTGATATCGGGGGGTATCGTTGTATGTGGGCTATATGATATCGTAGACCTGTATAGGAATTTCTCTTCCAGAGGGTAAAGTGCATAGAAAGAACTTCTAGTTTGGGTTTTTAAATAATTCCATTGAAAAATGTAACTGAAATCATAGAAATACTGAATATAGGGAGGTAACTTTATATGGGGGATATACGATATCACGAACCTATATAAACAATACTCCTCCAGAGGGTAAAGTACTCAGAAGGAACTCCTTTTGTGGATTTTCAAACAATTTCATTGAAAAATTTGGCTACAATCATCAAAGTACTGAATATTCCGAGATACAGTTATGTGGGGGCTATACAAAAATGTGAACCTATGCATGCAATATTTCGCCACCGGAGGTAGAACCCATTATGACTTAGAAATGCCAATTTTAGACAAATCCGTAGAAATATGTTGCCACCGGAGTTATAACCCATTACGACCTACAAATACCAATTTTTATACAAATTCGTGCAAATATGTGTCGATAATCATCAAATATGGCGGCTGTACCAAAACGTGGGCCGACATATATATAATTTTCAATACCAACCATCCTAGACACAATACAAATTGTTCTGCCAAATTTTGAAGCTCTGCGTCAAATAATGTTGGCTGTACCGTAATTTTAACAGACATTCAATAACAATCACTTGACGGGCGGACGGAGATCTTTATATAATATAATACTTTATGGGGTATACGACGAATTTTTAGAGATTTTACAAACGGAATGACAAAATTAATATACCCTCCTTTTCAAAGTGGAGGGTATAAAAACATTTTATTTGGAAAATACATTATTTTCCTTGCAGAAGGTCAACAATGTGAATGGAAACATATTTTACTGTTTTTTTATGTATACGTAAACAAACATCAGCTGAGCTGCATTTATATCCTTCAAGGGTGTGCCTAAACACTTTAGATTAACCCACTGTATCTAAAAAAGCGTGCGCATTAATCGTCAATAGTAGCGCTATTAATTCCACCATGTGCTGGTGGAAAATATTTCCTTCAATCTATTAGATTAACAATTTTTACTTTTAAATTTGCCGTTCTTAAACTCAAGTTTTGTAATTTCTAATACCTTTCAAATATCTGTACTGATACGTCTTACCTTACTTTTCTCACTGCCGTTACGGTCTTACGTGTTCGCTACGATTACGCGTACGTAATCAAACTACACATAACACTAATCATACTCTATTATACACCTCTGCATTTATGTCAAATAATACCCTTGCCGCACAACACCGGCATAGATTATTTGTTGTTGACACATCTGATTATAAACAAAAAATATTTTTTGTTTTGTAAAAAATAAAACATAAATTTGAGTAAAAATAAATCGTTTCAAATGAAGTGACTGCTAACACATCTCAACAATTCGGAAAAAGAATTAATTACGACAAAAACAATGTGTTAACTTTAGGCAGAAGTTTTACAAAAGGGGGTTGATTTTCTGTTTCTTTCAATAACCATCACTTGACGGTCTGGTCCAATCGAGAAAATTCACTCAAAACCAGCAGCAAGATGAGGCGAATGAACAATCTACTGACCCTATTCACATCTATGTCAGCCTTTTTCTTTGGCTGTTTTATAACAACTCTCTTGACTTCCGTTGACAAGTGTCCTGCACAAAAAAGTGGCGTACATAAATTGGAGCCACATCCAGAACTCTTCTTGATGGTTTTAATATTGAGTGCTCCACGATATGAGGAAAAACGTAATGTTATACGCGAAACTTGGCTGAAATTGGGTCGACCTTTGGCTCTGCCCTATTATCCCGAAGAATTTGTCTATTTGCCCTTGTATGGACCCATGGGCCATTTACAAATGGAAAACACCAATGATCAGGCAAATCGCTTACGAATTTTCATGGACTGGTTGGAAGGAGTGCAAAACTCAAAGACGGAAGTGCCAAAACGTAATATCAAGTTAAAACATTTCTTTGCAATTGGCACACAAGGATTGTCACCTGATTTGCGCTACCAATTGGAAAAGGAACAAAAGAAGCATTTGGATTTATTGCTTTTGCCCAGATTAATCGACACTTATGCCAATCTAACCGAAAAACTACTACATTCCATGGATGCTTTAACACACCATTACGATTTCAGTTATTTGTTGAAGGTTGATGATGATTCATATGTCAAGTTGGATTATCTTTTAAATGAATTAGTGTCGTATGATCGTAAACTACTGAGACGCTCGAAAGAATATCGAGATAACCCCCTGCCAGCCTTATATTGGGGTTACTTCAATGGACGTAGTAACATTAAAACCAAAGGTCAATGGGCTGAACCCAATTATTATCTGTCAATGCGTTATAATACCTATGCTTTGGGTGGTGGTTACGTGCTGGCCCGTAAACTCTGCGAATATATGGCCAACAATTCCCACCATCTGTCCACATATGTCAGCGAGGATATATCGGTGGGTACTTGGTTGGCGCCATTTCGTCATGTCTATCGTCACCATGATCCACGTTTCGACACAGCATACATGGCGAGAAAATGTAAGAAATACCATTTTGTATTACACAAACGAAATGAAACAATAATGCGAGACTTGTACAATGGCAAGCTATGCACCTTTGAGGTGGCCAATGAAAAACAATTGCAACGTCCAACGGAATATTATTACGACTGGCATAAGACAGCAGATAAATGCTGTGATAATTTAGTCATTTAAAGTGCCATAATTATTAGAGAATTATTAAAAGGACAGCTATAAAAAAATACAAAATATTTAATGTCTTAAAAACTAATGCCTTAAATGATATTTAGTAAGAATTTTTATTAATGAAACCAAAGCTCAAATTATAAAAATAATTTAAATAGAATAAACTATTATTCATAATAAAAGTGTTTCCTTTGGGTTTGTTTTTTTGACGGTTTAATGGGTTCAATTACGAAATTGAAAGTTTTCCAAGTGAAACATGAAAAATCAAAGTTAAAGCATTTCTGCAGGCATTTTAATACATTTGAATACATCCATTGTTATTTATGCCACAATTAAAATTGTCTTTTTAATTAAGGGCCATTGAAGAAGGGAAATCTCAGAACATAACGATCTCTATTTTCAAATTTGTTAACTTACCTGTGATCTATCAACCATTGTACCCGGTCCTCTGTATCAAACAAGGTGGCCACAACAATGTCCTTAGGTGCTATAATATAATAACGATTTTCTTCGGCCAAACAACCTAAGATATAATCGTTTACGGAATATTCTTGGTAACTGAAACAAAAAACAAAAAAATGTCAATAAATATTTCCAACGAGTGTTAAGATAAACTAACCCTCTTAAAGATAAACTATCAGTACAAATTTCTTCGCTGCTATTTAATTTATATTCCAATACAGATAATACTGGACGTAAAGCTTTTCGATTTGAGTCCTTTTCCTTGGGATAACCGAGTACAACTAATTGATTGGAAGTCAACGATGCTAAGCCACTAATATAGAATGTTGTTTGGAAAGTTGAAACTGTATAGTGAAATGAAATGCATTAAGTGTTGATGGGAAATTCAATTTAATATACAAACATACTTGGATCCACTATAAAACCAGGCAAGGCTTTTAAAGTTGCCTCAACAGAATTACGTTTACGTATAACACATATACGTATTGTATCGACCCAGCCGATAAGTAAAGTATTCGAGTTGGCCCAACGAAAATTGCAACGGAAGTTTTCCAAACGAGCACTAGTAAATAATGGATCAATTAGTTGTGAAATAAAACATCTTTACAAATTGGTCTTACTTTGTAGGTTCTTCCCATTTCATAAGGCCCAGAGAGCATTTTTCATTTAGATCATATACACGTACACCCAAGCAACTTGCCCATGCCACAAACGGTCCATTCCAGCATATAGAAATGACATGACCTTCAGCATTTGAGAGTACATTGGGTTTAAGTTTCTTTAGGAAGTTCTTTTCATACAGAGTTAGTTTTTCATCACCTGAAAGATAAAACAACAGTCTTATGAGGCCACCAATATATATGGGATAGAACTTCTATTTACCTACTATAAAACGCTTTCCCTCGCTTACTTTTGGATCTGGATCTAATACTGCAGCCCGTATGGCACGTCCACAATTAATTGTCTGATTATCATCATTACTAAATAAGCCAATTACATTAACCTTGCCGTCGTCCGAACATGTAGCTACATATTCTCCTCTGGAATCGATATCTACCTGATTAACGGCTACCGTATGAGCAAATTCGTGTTGATTGTGATTTAAATGAGAATTTACAGTGTTGCCTTGATGATCCACCAAATAGATACGTCCCAGAAATGTACCAAAGATAAGAAACTGAAATTTCAAATGTAAATCCAGTTCTTTGTTAACAATATCCAAATAGCCGGGGGAGATATTACATTACCTTAGGATGTATGGCACAGGCAGTAACAACATCTTTGTTCAGAATGTCTTTCAAATCGTGAGCAATGCGCTGATATTTGAATTTGGGTTCAATTTCCTCCGAAGTACTTTCCTCAGTGTCCTACAAACAAAACAATCAAAACAATGGAATTGCAAAAAATGAACTCATCATGATTGACTGGAATGTGGGTGGTTGTTATTGTTTACTTACGCTGCTGTGGGTCTCATTTTCGGCCATTATTTGTTCACGGTATTAACAGTCCTGGGCACTAGTGAAGCAACGCCTTGCCTTTAGGATTGTTTTCCTCAATCAGATAACAATATTATTTTATTCAAGAACAACCACATCCGAAGGTTGCTAAAGATCGAAAAACTCCTTTTGTGGGGTTCTACAGATCGGAATAGATCTTTCTACAGGTTCCTGAAGATCGAAAGAAATCGTTCTACTGAGTACTAGTGGAACTAAACAGCCGTTATTTCATATCCAAGTTCCTTTGTTCAATTAATAATTTACTAAGCTAAGGGTGATTTATACTTTTTTATACTTTGATTAAGGGTGATTTGAACTTTGCGATTGATAAATCGTACAATTGAGGAGAAATGAACGGTCTAGGAACCGACGTCGATGCCAAAGGTCCCATTGTGGTCCTGAGTACAACGATATGATATTTGGTTGCGCCCCTCTGCACATCTCGAGATATGGGCTTTTAAAATTCCATAAATGTCCATGATTTTATGTACTGCTTTTTGCAGTCGTTTTGGCTTTAGAGGTTCAATCATGGTACAATATAGGGTAAGTTAGAGAATGTTGTAAAAAGTAAAAATACCTACCTGGATGGTAGTTCTATTTTGTGTGACCGGATGTAGAAAAGAGTTCGAAACAACAACGATTCTCGGTATGTCTAACCTTCTGTCTTAAGAATTGAGCGCCAGCTGCAGCAAATAATAAGGTTTTGATTGATAACATAGCTTACGATGGGTTTATTTCTATAAATTTATCAAGTTTCAGCAGAGGCTCATAAATGTTAGTTCTTTTTATACCCTCACCATACATAGTATGGAGGGTATATTAAGTTCGTCATTCCGTTTGTAACTCATCGAAATAATCATTTTAGACATAACAAAGTATATGTAATCACGTTAGAGTAAAAACAAATAAAGATAGAGAGAATCAATTTCAAAATGGGCTACGTCGGTCCACGATATCGTATAGCCCCCATATAACGGTACCCCCCGATATTCGGTATTTTGATGATTTTAGCCACATTTTCCAATAGAATTGACTGAAAATCCAAACAAGGAGTTTCTTCTGAGTACATTACCATCAGGAAGAGAATTTTTGATATAGGTCCACGATATCTATAGCCCCCACACAACAGTACCCCCGATATTCGGTATTTTGATGATTTTAGCCACATTTTTCAATGAAATCGTCTTCGTATAGAGGCCAATATAACGGCTATATTCGGTATTTTTAAAAGAAATTTTGGAGAATGTTATTTTTTTGAAAATATCCAAATTTGTTCCAAATGGTGGAGGGTATTTCAGGTCGGCCTGGCCGAACTTAGTGCTTTTTTACTTATCTATTCTTTCAACCAGACCAGCATATAACGAAACAAAAAATAATGATACCTTGAAGAATCAAAGATGTTCGTTCTGTTTGTCACTTCTAATTTTTAAGATTTCGATTAAATGTTTTCGCATAAAACCTGATTTGAATGTGTTTTTTTCATGATTTTTTCTATTCGACAATTCTGCTACAACCGTCTGAATTACTTCTACGTTTATATCTAAAAAAAAAACACCCTCCCATACCCTACAACTTGCTGATACACGCAAACAAATCAAAACGTTGCCAAAATTATTTTAAAAATTCCTAGAAAACATTAATATTGTATTTATAAAAAATACATGTTTCAAACTTAATACTATTACTATAGTTTGAACATACTATAGTTTTGGAGGGGGGTTTTTTAAAAACACATCATTATTTATATATTTGTTTTAGGCAAAAATAAAAACATCTTATTTTATATTATTTTTATGGTTATTATTTTATAATAAAATAATAAAATTTCATTTCCAATCATTCTCTTGATGTTACACAAATGACTGTTATAATATAGTTCATGGAACAAATATTTAAGCATCAGCTTCAGCTTGGAGCTTAGCAATGTAAGCAGCTTTGTGTGCGGCAACCTTGGCTTTGCGTTGCTCATTAGTGAGTTTCTTAGCATTCCACCTCTTCTTTGTAATGCCGGTCTTTTGTACCTTCTTGTGGGTAGGATCGGCACGGATAGCTTGGTGGGCTTTCTTGTAGATTTCTTCAAGCTGTAATGAATTTTAAAAATAGAGACATGTTAAAGATTTCTTTTCAAATTGGAATATGCATATCTGATATATTCAGACAATGTGCTTTCAATCATTATTTAAAAAAAAAAGATGGTTCTAAATAGGTCATAAATTTTATGTTTACATTGATGTACATAAACTAAACAAAAATATATGACAAAGGCTATCGAAAACAATTGCAGTACTAGGTCAATAACAACAAACATTACAGAAGGACTGCATAAGTTTGTGTTCGACAACAACAAATCAATTTGTACTCAACGCTATTTTTAGAATCAACACAGATTGTTTACAATGGAGCCGTCTCCCATATGCAACCAATTTCGACACTAAAATTTTAATGCTCACTTATTTGTTTTTTTAAATACGCAACATAAGATATACAACATAAAATGTACAACCATAACAGGAAATTTATCCCATTTAAAAGGCGACAAATTTCGAACACAGGTTCTTAAACTTTTATGTGGTCCACTTTTGGCACAGCCAGCGTCGTGGGTACAAGACACAGCGGTAATTTTATAAATGGACGTGGTATCTAAACGAAATTTCTTTAATTCTACCACTCTACCTATCGTACTTACATCATCAGCACGGATTCCCAATTTAATGTAACGGCTGAATTGGCGTTTGAAGCTCTCTTCATCCTCTTCTTCCAAGGTGCGCATATAATCGGCAACATGTTGACCGAATATGTGAGCACGGTGGACATCAGCGTTGAAGCTCTTGTTTTCAGCGGAATAACCGGGGAAACGCTTGACGGAGTGGGGGATATTCAAACCACCATCGACAGCACCCTTCATGGCACCGAAAACACGGGCACCAGTGGTGGTACGAGCCAAACCAACATCCAAATAACAACGGAAGGCACCGGGGCCATCGTTGACAGGTTCAACGTTGTATTCCTCACCGGTGACTTCGGTGCAACCACCGTACAAGGTGTCCAAGCCCAATTTGTTCAAGATACGGCGGGCAACCAACAAACCAGTGCAGTAAGCGGCAGCATAGTTGGTCAAACCAACCTGAAAATTAACAAAAAAAAAAGAACTTAACCTCACAAAAATTCAATAGCACAATCTCGATACATACCTTAACACCGTATTTGGGCAATTCATGGGAGTAGGCAGCGCATACAATACGATCACCCTCGATGCGGGAGTAAGCGATTTGTACGGTAATGTCCTTGTTGGACAAACGAACAATCAAACGGTATTTAGGGGTGTTGTATTTGTTCTTGTCTTGGAAGATCAAACGTTTGCGGGCATAGTAATCGGTTTTACCCTCACGACGCCTGCGGAACTTAACTTGGTAGCGCTTGAAGTACTGCTTGTTCTTGACTACTTTGACGAAACCCTGGAAAACACACGAATGTTTATTAAAAACTATTCACTTCTTGTACACACATTCAATCAATATAGCTCGATGGGCGGAATATGTTTTCGAATTATCACACTTTTTCTTAGACATCTTATTCTCAAAGTTTTCACATAATTTGTTTTTCTTTTTAATTATTTCGTTCGCAAACATTTTCCACTTGAATTTTTGTTCGTTTTATTACCATTTTCACTTTTTTGTTAAATTAAAACACCGACGTCAAAAAGTACGCGATGTTCTTCACACGTAGTGAAAAAAAGAAAAGAAAGATGGTGTTGTTGTTTTGACACAACAAAGGAAATCCAACAAACGTCATTATGAACTGCAACCAACTTCAGAGTGACTGTAAGTGGACCCTTAAATAAAGATGTGTGACAAATATATACATTTATGAAAATATTTTTTAATTTTCTAAATAAAAAAAAAACTTTAACACGAACCGAAATTTTGAAGGCACTTAACCTTTTTTAATAGGTAGTTTTTTTCTTCCTCCTGTTCATAGTATAATTATTATAAGACAGCAGAAAAACTACAACAAATATAATGCAACAACTATAGAGTAATGTATCATTAGGTGTGTCCAATAAACCGATACTTTGTACAAAATATTACAAACATTGTTCGAAAACCCAAAAATCTAGTAAATGAGATCGCTTAAAGAGCAATTTTAATAGTTGGATTACTCAAGATTTTAAAGTGCAGCGTCATAGCACAATAAGTGGGTAAAACAGCTCCGTAAAACTGCAGAAATACAGCCCTGAAGCTAAAAAATATATAATAAAACAACTTTATTTATTTAATAATTCCCCTCATTTTTAATGTGTGTTAAATAGCGCGAAATATTAATTTATTGCCTGGATTTTCTTTCAAACATATAATCTAAAGCTTTCAATCTTTAAATTTCATTTCAAAATTGGTTGATATCTTAAATGCGCTCCCTGCGTTTTTTTAAGTCATTGATTTTGAAATATTTTTTTTTTAAAACAATAAATACATACACAAAATTGGCAAAAGTTGGGCACGCTTAGAAAAAAAGTTGGTACCTCTCTCTACCTTACCTTTTTATTTTATTATATGCAACAAATTGTTTTACTTATTTGATATCATGTTATAATTGTTACAGGTAACAGCAAGTCCCAGCTGATTTGACTCTATAGTAATACCAGTGTCGAACTCGATATGACGTTTTGTGTTTAATTCCATTTCTTGATATACAATAGGTATACCCTTTTTTGATATAAAATCTCGCTGCAGGACAATGTGAATGGATGTTGCCTTTTCCACGATTTTCTTGCGATTGCTTGAAGTGTTGGGAGATTAGGACCAACAGCTAACAACTATACATTCAGGGGAATGATGTAAAAGCATTAAAATTAAATATAGGACAGAACAAGACGGTTCACAGTGTTTCACACACACCAAATTGGTGTTTTTTTCAGATTGGCGGTTAATTTTGGCGAGACCTTAAACACAAAATAAATATTTTATTTTATAAAGCCTTGAACATAAAACACGGTACTCACCACTGAGGCCACACTACGGCCTCAATTCTTGTTCTATAAAAATGTGAAATGAAAACTTTTACTTTTATTTTAAAGAAATGTCAAATGAAAAATTGTATCAAGGAAGTATTTTTCATTTCATATTTTCATAGATGAATACAATAAATCCAACCAAAGATTTTGGTATTAAGCTCAAAAAATGTTTCGCTAGTTGTTTTTTTTTTTTTTTGCTCTGCCTTTTTATAGGGTCAAAACCAAAGCTTATTTCCCTTTCCTTCTCATGTTTTCCCGGAATTTTCCTGTTTATCATTCTACGTTCACCTATATATCCCTCCCATTCTGCAGACTTGTATTTCCCTATACACAGAAAGTAATAATTTGCAACGTTGGAATTTTGAACAGCGTATCCGGTTCTCTTTTTATTTGCAGGCAGCAATCGACATGGAATCGGGAAAATTGCCTCCGGTTTCTTTTTTAGAAATTAATATAAAAAATATGTTCATGGGTCACACGCAACAATCTGGTTAATAGCTTAAAGCGCGACCTACAAAGTACATTTGTTCCTATCGTTGATTTCTAAAATATTTATTTTTTTTTTTACAAAAAATACATACATAATAGTTGTGTTCCAGAACCTGCAAATTAGTACCAATTAGCACTAATTCTGCTACAACGCGTTCCCGTACTCAAAAAACTAGCAAAACTTGCAGCTCTCTCGAGAAAAAAATGGCGCTGAGTGGTGCACATTTCTGCTCGTTTTAGCTACATGAATTTGGCCGAGCAGAAATGTGCATATTGTAAATTTGACATTTAATTGGCAGGGCTAACAAGGTTGAAAAATGTATTGATACATTTCAATAAAGAAAATGATCAACTTGAAAACTAAAGGAAAAACTAATATTTGTCGTGCAAAAAACAAAAAGAGAAAATATGGAGCAACTGATGTATTCACTTTTGGATGATTCCAGCAGTGAAGAGGACTGGCTGAATGAGGAATCAGATTATTAATTATTATTATAAATTATTAATTTTAACTTATCGTCTTCAATACTCATTTTTTAAATGTTGGCGCTCTTTTCTGTAAGGTTTCACCAGTCCGATTTAGGCTGTTTACTTTTGGAATTTTGAATTTTGACATTTTATCGCATTTCTGCTAATTTTCCGTTCCCTTATTTTTTGAGCAAACCTAAATGAGAATGACAATTCGAGCTGTTCTCTCTTCTGCTAGTTTTACTACTAAAAAAGTACTGGAACACAACTAATGTTAGCAGAATCAAGACACTTAAAAAGAATTGTTATCAGCTTGTAGCTCTCCCTTACCTTTTTGTGCAGTGTATAATGTACCGTGGCTACGATAATTAGAAGGTGGGGGCAAAATGATTAAATTTGAAAAACACAAACCTGAAGCTAAGAGCATGATTTATGTTTTCTTATATTGCGCCAATCGCAGGTTGTTCTGATATGCATTTTACACAATTTTTACAAATTTGAATAATTTTTTACTCAACATTTTCAATTTCACAATTGGTTTGACGTTTCATTGTCCAAGCAGCTATGCCGTTGCAGCTACCTGTACTCTTCTACCATGTGCCCTACCTTGTCTTCATTATAACATGATGGCCTACATGACATGGGCCCGTTTTTATATAATTTCTTTATAATCACATTTTCATAGTCACAAAGATGTAGTCATGGCTCAATAAGAAAAAGAAGCTCTGTACTTGAGTTTTGTTATGTCAATTAAACTTTTCAAACATGCAGCACTTGGCTTTGTTTATCAATATATTTTTTCGCAAAAATTTATATTGCGGAAAACCACAAAATTTGAATGGAATATTGGGATTTCCCAACAAAATTATACATTTTTTACGCGTTAACGTGAAAAATATACATTTATATTGTCCCTAAAGATGAAATAATTTCAAATTATTTTTCTTTTTATTCAAAACAATACACACACAAACTGTGTATATGTTTTGACAGAATAGGGAAACCCAAAGAAAAAAATCGTATTTTGGGGTTAGCTCTTTTACCTTTTGTAATTATGTATGTCATAGATGTAATAATCGGTCTTGTAAGTCTTGACGGTACAAGTCAAGACTGAGTGATAGGGTTGCCTCATCGATTTGACAACTGTGATTTCCTTTGCAATTGTGCTATTGTTGCTTTGACATTCGTATGTTAAACTACAGCTGCTTTTGGCATTCTCTTCTACCTTAATTTTCTTTGTCACCAGCTGTTTTTGTTGATTTGCTTTAGATCGGATTTACCAGACGTTTTCTTTTCTCTACTTGTGATTTTTATGATTTCGAGTTTACACTGGTAATAAAAATAATTATAAATTAAATAAATACAATATTAAAAATAATCATATTTTGGTAGTCACAGGTAGTTGTTTCTATGCTCTGTGTTTGGCGGGAATATTTGCCGATGATTTATTAGTGTACACGTCACGAACTCGCAAAACACGACAACATGGGGAATGAAGGTAGCAAGGGTCTGGTAATTGACAAGAATGCTGTGGAAGCAAATGATTTCTGGGCTCTGTACAATGCCTCCACCGTTCCGAGCAACAATGGCAGTGGTGCGGCTACTGAAGAAGAAACTCGTTATCTTTCAGTATTTCAGGGAGAGCCCGTTGTGACAGGACAGTTGTGGGTGTCACAAGGACCTATGGAAAGGGCAATAAAGGTAACCTTATAGCCACCTTTGGATTTGAATACATTGTTTCTTATGCATATTTCGTTTCATAGAATCAAATGATATATAGACATCCATATATACTAAAGTATGTTAATAACTGGGAGCAAGGTGGTCAAAAGCATTTGGCTACTGAACGAGTACGTCCTCTACAATCTGTATTAAATCAACAATCGGATATACAAATCTGTTTAGGATTGCGCACCATATTATGCAGCTTGATATTTCTGGTAGAGAAGGTAAAACATTGATGTATTACATTTACAGCCATCATAACGATTGAAATTAACTATTCCAGGCAATGGCACGTCACTTAAATATATGCACTGATTCAATATACGTCACGGATTCTGGAAGTTGGCGTTTAGCTGGTTTTGAGTATGTGTGGAAACAAAAAGAAGTTACCAAAACTCTATTAGACTATGCCAAGGCATACCGTTATCAGGCCGCAATGGATCCCGATGAATCGAAAGAGGGAAATATGGATGCAATTGAACAGTACGCATTTGCCACACTATGTGAAGAAATCCTAACGAAACAGTTCGAAAGTCAAAAACAATCAAATTCAACACCAATACCGCATGTTCAGGAATTCAAAGACTACTGTGCTACTCACTTGAAACATAAAAATGCCCAAATGAGACCGAAATTATCGGCTGTCCTGCTACATCCGTATTTCAATCATGAATTTGTACTTATTCATGCCTTCCTCTTTGAGCTGCCTTTGAAGAATAATAATGAAAAGCAGGACTTTTTTACCGGACTAATAGATAGACTGCGTTACTTTGATGAGGAAATTGTGGGAGCCCAATTTGCCGGGGATCTTCTGTCACGCATGGTTTTATTGGACACCACAGCTCAGTTGTGTGTTACACCCTATGTTTTGCGTACCAAAACCGACCACTCTTCAGCTTTATTCTCGGGCACTACATATTGTAAATACTTGATGCCTCATATATTGAAAATGTTCCGTTTGAAAGATGCCCAAATACGCTTAATATTACTTGAATATTTTATGGAATTCGTACGCCTTTTAAGTAAAGAAGATTTGGAGATAAACATTTTGCCACATCTTGTCGTGGGAATGCAAGATACCAATGATGTTTTGGTGGCCAAGACATTGCGATGCATGGCTGATTTAGTACCAATTTTGGGTGCTGCCACAGTCTTGGGAAGCCAAAGAACACGATTGTTTTCCGATGGCCGGCCACAGGCAGCAATATCAGCCTCACATTGGGTAGAACCAAGATCGATTACACCAGTTCTAGGTGAAGGAGGTGACTGCCCAATCATGGTCTCTGGTAGTCCAATTCCTGATAATAACTTATTGAGTAAAAGCAATAGCTATTCATCATTATCGCAAGCCATATCAGATACTTATGAACATAATATGCCGCCACGTCTCAGTCCGGACGGTGGTGAAGACGTTAAATCAGCCATAATACAAGATAACAATGATTTAATGATCGATGACGAACCAGATGTTGAAATTGAACTAGAAAAGGAGCCGGAGAAGATACACTCAGATATCAACAAAAATCCCAAAGAACTTGTCGAGGAAAATCATGCCGATGAAGATGATGCATGGTCTGATTGGGAAAATGATGAAGAAGTTGAGCAAACCAACAGTGGCATAGAAATACAAACGAATCTAATATCAAATATTTCAACGAACAAATTAACGCTGTCGTCTGCAATGACAACATCCGCCTCCTCTTCCTATAACACATTACCTTCTCAAAATTCTTCAAGTAATTCGTTTAAAACTGCTCAATCGAATAACATTTCTTCTTCACATTCCTCATTGGTCAAACCCACGGTGTTGACATCAATTACCGATGATTTATCATGTTTAGATATACAAGTACAAAAAACTCCAGCAACTGCCAGTACTGGGGATTCGGATTTTGATTTTTTCAAAGATATGGAACCAGTTATAGCCAGCAATAAACCCTTGCAAATTTCTCCGCCCGCAACATACAAATGGTTGGATACGGAAGAAAATATAACTGTTGATTCATCGAGATTTGTTGCAGCCGATGTTGGCAGCGATGCCAGTGGTTGGCAAATAGACGATGATGACGATATTGGAGGAGGTTTAGACGATTTAGTGTCAACGACAACGGCACCTGCATCGTGAACACCTTATGTTTAGTATACATATTGCATATGAACATACATACAAACATATGTCAAACAAACATTCTTAATTTAACATAATGCAAATGGGAAAACGATCTCATTTACCATGAGTGTGTGTATTTAATATTTTAAAAATCAAATTTATAGCGTTAATTATTTGTAATTCATAAAGTAATTTTTTAAAGAATGGAAAACAAAATTATGTGGCTTAGCATTAAATATTTGTTATCATCATTGCAGGAACAAAACATAAGCATGTAATTTGTTTAAGAATATATCAGTTTTATTTATTTTCATGTTAATGTTTGACCCTTGTACGGTCAAACTGCAGCAATTGCATAAAAACTGTTTTGTAATTGAATTTCAATATGAATAGATATTGTTTTAAGAACGTAATAAATAATAATCACTATCTATCAAAATCAATTGTTTATGGAAATATACAGGCAGGACAGGCCCTCATTTCTGGCTGCCCCATTACAGTGTCATCATTTTATGTCTTTGATTTTATGTTAATGTTCGATAATATTCAAAGACCGCTTTAAAATTGTCCGAAATTGAACTATGTTGGCATTATTCTATTCGCCTAAAGGTATACTCCGATAAATGTATTGTGAGCAATTTTTGTGTGATATCAAGATGGCGCTGTGTATAACATAATCGACGGTCCTTGTGAACAAAGACAAATTATAAGTTGGGACATTAAATTTGGCAATAGATGTCGTTGGTACATAACATTATATTATGTCACGATATCGTGAAATAACATAAGTTTTGAGTGATATTACTTTTTTACTCTCTGAAATGCATTGGAATTTTGTGAATCAGCAGATGTCGTTGATATCGTAAAAAAATCATAAACTATAGGATCTAGTTGAAAATTATATCATAATAAACGATAAATGAAAATCATGAACAATTCTAGAAAATTATGAAATTTGTTTTCGAAGTCGAGTGAGTTCGATTGCGCTGCTCCCATCTCTTCATGATATGTCACAAAATATGCCATGCGAAGACTTTAGGCTGCTTATGTACCTACACCTTAAGTGCAGTATAAATCTTCACAGGGTTTTTAAAAATTCGAACTTTAAATGTGTATTACAAGTGCACGAAAAGTACTAAATGTTTGGTACATAAATTGTTAGTGCTCGCAGACATTAATTTTTTGTATCATTCATTTCTATTTTCAACATACAAAAAATTGTCAATGTTGCAATTTCATACGCTCGACGCATTTCGCTAGTACTTATATAAATTCCACATGCCATGGTAGAAGAATACAGGTGGATGCATCAAAGCTTGGTAACATTGAAACGTCAAAAATTTTTAAATGTTTCTTCATATATAAGTAGATTTGTTTATGTTTTCCTATACGAGCCAGTTGGAGGTTGTTATTATATGCATATTTTTTAACAATTTTTACAAATATAAAAAAATTTTTATTGAAAAATTTCAATTCCCAAATTTGTTTGACAATTAATTTATTGTCCCAGCAGCTGTGTCGAAGCGACTACCTATATTCTTCTACCATTCCACGTGCCCAGTCAAAGTTTTTCTCCACACAATTAAAACACATGTATTTATATGAGAGTTACCTAAATAAGTCGGACGTACAACTTTTTAAAGTTAAACATTTTCAATAATGATAACAATTTCGTTTTTTGTGTGTTTGAAAATATAAATGAATAATACCAAAAATGTGAATGTTTATAATTGGAAAATATTACAATGGTGTGAACATGGTACAATGAAATAAAGGTAACCTCATTTGAAATAAACACTCCCATCTCTGCATTTTCTGTAATTTACCTTGTCAAATTTCAATGCATAAAAAACACTTCCCCTCTCTGATTTTGTGTGTATACAATGGATCTATGAATATAGATTTTGACAATGAGATGTTGTCAAATGCATGATACAATAAGGAGATAGAACGGCTTCGTAAAACTACAGAAATGCAGCCCTTTATGTCAGGCTCATTCAAAATTGTATACACGCATGGTAAAATAAAAAGGTATGGTAGAGCTCCCAGCTGATTACAATTTTTTCTAAGTGTGCCCGACTTCTGCAAATTTTGTGTATGTATTTGTTGTTTTGAAAAATAAAAATAAAATATTTTCAAAATCAATGATTAGAAGAAACTTAAATTGCGGGGCGCGCCATGGAATTGAAATATTGAATACTTAGGATCATATTTGTAAGAGAACATCCAGGCATTTCATTCATCTTTCGCGCCATTTCACTCATTTTAGAAAGGAATAGAAAATATTAAATAAATGAAAATAACTTGTTGCCTATAATTTTGAATAATTCTGACAGGAAGCGGGCATAGCCTCAGGGCTGTATTTCTGTAGTTTTACGAACCTGTTCTACCTCCTTATTGTACCATGTATACAAGTTGTTTTCATATTTTTTCTCATTTTTTTTTTAAATGAGTTAGATTGCGTGAAAAATGAATAAAATGCCTGGATTTTCTCTCAAAAATATGATCAAACTGTTCAATCTTTCAATTTCATGACAAAACTGGTTAAAAGCTTCACTGCGCGTGCCGCAATGTACGTGTCTTCCAATCATTGGTTTTGAAAATATTTTGATTCCATTTTTCACAACAATAGGTGTGTCTGGTTACCCTGAAATTTGTAACAATTGTTACAAATTGTTACTGAAAGTCGACTGTTAACCCGAAAGTTCTGCAAAAGAGAGCGGTTGGAGAGAGAAATTTTGACAGTTCTTTCAGTGAGAGTTTGCAAATTCTTGTTGGACAAATTTCTTTTTGCAATCACTTGCAACTCTTCTTCTTTTCATTTATCTGCATTCAGTCAGATGTTTTCTATAGTTTGTATTTTTCTTTTTGTAATATTCGAAAATATTTTTTGGGAATTAGCAAGACTAATTGTTTTTTTGAGAACAACTTTACAAAATGTGAAAAACGTAAACATTAATATGTAATTAGAAAATAAAAGACTATTTTCAAAATTTTTAGATAAACGCCATTGGCAACGCGCTTAAAGGATTCCGGGGAACACATCTATCTTTCTTTTATTGCTCATATTTTTTTTTTATTGCTAATTTCCTTTTTATTTATAAAACTTGTAAAATTGGTTTAATTATACTAATGGGGGACAAATTGGTTTGTTTTGACAAATCAGCTGACTTGTTGCAAGACTCTGCACTTTTCGCATTTTTCTTGCAAAAGAGGATAAAACTAAATTTCTTTCTCAGAAAGATGTTGCTGGACAACAATGCAGGGAAATTGGCAGAAGTCGGGCGTTCTTAGAAATAAATTGTATTCAGCTGGTAGCTCTATCTTACCTTGTTATTGTACCATGGTTAAATGTATAAATTTGAAAAATTGTAAACATATGATTATATAACTTTACCTTCTTAGTTCTTCCATGGGTGTGAATTTAATAAATCATCGATTTAAAAAAACTTTATTATTTTGTGGATTTTCTCACTTTTTATACATTAGCCGCTTAAAATTGCCTATTGGTTCAAGTAACGAATTTAACCCAACAACAAGAAAAACGACATATTTAAAATATATATTTTATATACTTTAAAAAATCGAAGTATATATTTTGTCATAAATATGATTTATTTTTTTATTATGCATCTTAAAAATTGTTTATTATTATTAATATTTTTTATGTTAAATTATTTGATGGGTGGTGTATATTTTTTTAAAATTTTCTTTAAATATTAATTTTTATGTGAATGTTGTTTCTCCGTTCAAAGTGTATGTTGTGGGCGTGAATGTGGTTTGTATCTGGAATATATGTGAAATTTTAACGGGGGCAAGAACTTTTCCGGATTTAGAAAAAACAAAAAATGCTGTTAGTAAAAGCTTTTTATTTTATACACAACTATATTGTTTGCAATTCTATGTTCGCTGACATTATGCGCAATGTGGGTTTCGATTTATTTCGTCAATTTTGAAAAAGAAAAGAAAATTTGGCTAAAACTCGTCAAATGTGAGATTAATACTCTGAACAAAAACATTTTCTACTCATGAAATAATATGTTTTTCTTTGTTCTTTGATATTTTTTTCAATTGTGTTTGATATAACGTTTGCATTTCTCATTTTGCAGAGCTATTTCTTTAAAAAAGTGTTCTTTTTAAGCAAAACCAGTTATATGTTTGAACACTTCAATGTATTCTAGTGTGATTTTAATTAATATGTGTTTTTAAGTTTTTGTAGGGATAATTATAAAATCTTGCAGCAGCATTTCTACAAAATTTGCAGGTGTTTTTTCAGCTTGGTTGTCTTTTTTGCCTGTCAATGAAAACTCCGTATTATAACTCGAAGAATTTTACTTTAACTTTAAGCTGTTATTCTTCGATTTACATTTGACAATGCTGTTTTTCTTTGTCTCTATTCTAATTCTGCAAAATATAAATGTGGGTTTATTTAACTATGTCTCAAGTTTAATCAAATATGATTTTGCCATATTTTTGTTTGCGAAAATTGTTGTCGTTTTTATGTTTGTGTTGAAAATAAAACCATGTTGAAGTGTTTTTTTTTTTTCAATTTTATCATATTTATAATATAATCTTTAATATTAAGAAAATAAAAAATGAAAATAAACTAAAATAAAAGAAAAAAATATGAGTACAACTAACGTAATATGAATTTTTGCAAAGTATTTCAAAAGTTTTCATTTGTTTGCTTTCATGTTCATAAAAAATTCAACATTTTCTGCTTATGTGAAAAGTAATGGAAACAAATCATAGAGCAATAATAAAGTAGCCGATTTTGCGACTGCTTAAGTTAAAAACTCCAACCGAACTTTTAAATATAAGTGTATACAAAAAAAGCAAAACGAACATTGTTCAAAACAAAATGTTTTTTTGATAATATCTTTTAAGTGTGTTTTTAATCTTTTCATATTTAAAGTCTCAGTTACAATCAAAGCAAATAAGAAAAAAAGAAAGGAAATAAACAATAGAAAGAAAAAAACAATGCAAATAAAGTATAAGCAGTTTCTTTTTACATGGGGAGTTTTAGTTGGTTGGTTTTGTTGAATTACTTTTTTTCATAAGCAACAGAGTTTGCTTTTTGCTGGATGCTGTTGGTATGGTTTTGAAGATCCATTGAAATCGTTATTGACGTTGATGTTAATCTTCATCTTCTTTTTTTAGGTTGACTGTATGTGTAATTCTTCAACATTTACAAGACAATCAATTTAACTCTTTATCTTCTAAGTACTTGTATTCAAAAGTGAATCCCTCCTTCTTTCGTTGACTCCATTTTTCATAGTCGAAATAGATGTACGTACCCTGAAAAAAATACGAAATTAAACATAAATTGCCAAGGATATATAGCAAAAACAACTCACTTGTTCGTAATCATCGTTTATAATTTTGGGTTCTTCATGTCGTTGGAACCACATCATGTATTTTGTATGGAAACGCCAGCTTTGCTTTTTCAAGGCTTTAGCTGCCAGATATTGAGCCTTTGATCCTTCCATGTAGTAGAAAACAAAGAATAGAGTTTCTGTCGAGAGTCGTTGATAAAATTCAACAGTATCATAAATTGGAAGTTGTTGCTGAAAGAGAAAAAATGGTAAGAAATAAATTTAACATTTGTTTTAAACTCGCAGAATTAATTTCGGTCCAGCGATACAGAGTGAGATAAAAATAAATGCAACAATGTCAAACGCCATAATTTTTTGGTATCCGGAGATTTTGGTGGCCTTTGTCCACTTAAAATGAAGAGAGGAACCTCATTTCGTAACCATTATTGGGTGGCGCGTGCTGAGTTCATTGGTGCTGGAAAGTCCAAGGTCTGCGGCCAAAATGTTTGCGTGAAACCCTCCAGAATATTTTCGCGATCATATTCGATATTATTTCTGATGCCACAGTCGATTAATACGAGCGGAGAGCGACCACCGGCTGTTATGCCGGCCCATCCCATCACCATGGCCGGCGCTTGAGTTCTGGTGGCCAAACGAAGGTGCACATTTTCAGCTGACCTCTTTTGCAAGTAAACACGATCATTTTGTTTGTTTTCAAACTGCTGGACAACGAATGTTTTCTCATTGGAGAAAACCAAATTCCGTAGTTCGCCACTTTTGGCCATGCGAAACAACTCATTAGCTATTTTCTTTCCGTTGCGGTGTAAGTTCTTGCACTTTTTGGAATTTTAATGGCTTTACCCCGAGCTCATTTTTCAATATTTGCCGAATGGAATATTGCGATTTGTTCAGCTCACGAGCCATTTTCGGCCACTGCGATGGGGGTTTCTATCAAGTCGCTTCTTTACTTTTCGAACCATTTCTGCTGATGTTGCTGTTTTCCTCCGTCCACTTCCTTGATGCCGGGCTACGCTACCAGCATCACGGTAATCGGCGATGGTACGAGACGCAGAAGATTTATTCACAATTAAATGCTGAAGTGCTCTAACGATAGCCACTTGTGGTTTTCCAGCCAAATATAAAGAAATCATACTGTCACGCTTGAATTCCATCACAAATAATTTTTTTCTGGAAATTCTTACCAAAATGCTTTTGTACACTTGTAAACAATGTAATGAGCTGTCACTGGAATAATTTTAACAGCTGTCGGGCGAGTTGCTTAGAAATGACAGCAGTCTGAAGTTGGTTGCAGTTTTTTCATCTCACCTTGTATGTGGTTCTCTGTGTAATGATTCAAGGAGGTATCAAATAGACACCTATTAAACATGTTTTTGTGCTCCTTAACCTAACACAAGCCCCATCGGCTATGAAAAGTTTTTGATTTGCTTAAATTTTGCTTTAGATTATTAACTTAATATCTTCCTGCCTCATATCTTTCGTGGAATTTAAACAGTAATTTTAAATTTGAACAATCAGAGCAACATTGGAACGTCGCCATGATAAGTTTTAAATGAATTTTTTTTTGTGACAACTTACCTGTGGATAGTGCGGTGGTGTTTGCACAGGTGTACGATGGAAATACGTGGTAAGTTTTTCTGAGTCGCTAGGCGTTGGCAAATGATAATAGGCTGCTTCCATCATTTGGAATTGTAATTGATGATCCTTTTGCAGCGGTGAGGGACCCAATGGTGCTACACCAAGCAGTGGTGGTATGTGTGCTTCATTTGTAGGTTGTTGGGATAATTGTTTACTATTTGCAGATGATGCACCTGCGCCTATGGGCTGCTGACCGGCAGCATTTGATAAAGCCGATGCATTAAGATTACTACCAATTGGTCCTACTGTGTTGCCGCCACTACCAGCACCCGCACTGTTACTGCCAACAACTGATGAGGGACCATTTGTTGATGCTGCCACTGCTGCGGCAAGAACTGTCGCAGAATTTCCTTGTTGTTGCTGCTGCTGTTGATGTGAATTGGCAGTTGTATCTGTAGAGAAATGCTGTTGTAGAACTTGTGGCTGCTGAGGCTGCTGTTGTCTGTTATCCATATTAGCCGCTTGCTGTTGGGAAAGGCTATTTGTATCGATCACAGATCGATTAATGGCTTCTTGTGCCATTGTTTTCAACGAAATAGCATCAACAGGATTCGAATTAGTTGTAACATTTGATACAGGTAAGCCTAGATGGAATACAACAAATACATAGGGGGTTATTTGAAAAATAAGATTTTCATTTTCCTACCATTCATGTGTTTCGGTGACAGCAGTCCCGGTGAAGCCCTTGCGTTGTTGTTTGCTCCCGCCAAACCCAATACTTGCTGCTGTGCGTTGAGAACTTGCTGCAAACCGGACATACCATTGGGTGAAATGCAATTAGCGGCAGATGTTGCCAAATTATTAACATTTGTTGAATTTGGTCCTTGTTGCACTACATTCGCAATGCTACCGACTGCCGAATTATTGGAAGTGTTATGGGCTGCTTAATGACAAAAATAAAATAAAATAAAAAACAATAAAGGCAAAAAATAAAATTTTTGAAATACACAATAAAATTTTGTTTGTTTTTCTAGAGAAGACAAATTGTAAACAAACCATTTTGTAAATGAGAGGAATTTGCCTGGAGATTTGTTAATTGTTGTTGCTGTTGTTGTCCTGCACTACCAACTATTGCATATGTTGCACCACTAAGCAAGGGACCATTTTCAAGATGTGCTACGAATATATATGTTTATACATGGTATATTTGCATTTAGAAAAACATTCAGCAATGATCCAAGTGATCATTGGAAAAACTATATTTTTAACATAAAGAACATACAAAAGAAAAGAAATGTAAAGAAACGACTTTTCGAATAAAAAAATAAAAGTTTGCCCAAATGTAATAAACGTTAGGGGCAATTTTATAACATCAGTGCCTTGATCTAATGAATTTTGGTAAATTGCAATTTAAATTAGACAAATTCTAGGGTAGAAAATTAAAAAAAAGGCAATTTGAAACCCAATTCTCCTCATATCAAAGAGATGAGAGGTTGTTTCAAATCAAATTTATTTGGTTTCTCATTGATTCTAAATCAAAGGGAAATAAAATGTCCTATTCTGTACTGTACTTTTTAACTCAATGTTTACTATTAAAACAAAAGATATGACTAAAATAAAAAAAAACTCAAAATGTTGTAAATATAAATAACAAACACTTACATGTATTATGTTTAGCAACTGCGGAAAATGCAATTGTCGGTGTTGCTTGAATCACAGATTGGCCTTGGATTTGCGTTGCATTGCTGGAATTTGTTGATGCTGCCGCAACAGAAGCTAATGTTGGATTTCCTTGTAACGTGGGCGCTGGTGCATGTTGTACCGATGGATTGTGGCCAGCTGCTGCTACGGCTGCGGCTAACGTTGTCGCTCCACTGCCAGTATTTACATTTGATGTTGAGTGATTGCCAACAACAGAAGCGGCAACCACTGCTGCCGCCGTCGGTTGTTGTTGCTGTTGTGTGGGGTGATGTTGTTGTTGTTGCTGCTGCTGATGAGGATTTTTACTAGGTGTAGAACTAATGATTTTATTCGTGGCAGCTAAAAAATAAAACATAATGTATAGAAAATTACAATATTTATTTCAAATCATCCTTACCATCTGATGCCCCAATATTTGCTTTATTATTAGCCCGGACAGCTGTAGGTTTAACAGGTTGCTACAAAGAAACATGCCGTTTTAAAACCAAGTCCTTATTAATATCCTTTAAAATCGTTACCTTTGTTTTGCTGTTGTTGTTGCTCTCATTTTTATTATGCTTATCCTTCGCCGTGCCATCGGCTGCCGTTGAATCACTTGAATAATTCAAACTGATTTGTTGATGTGCCGATCCGCCACCACTACCGCTGGTGTTCGAGGCCTGTTGTTGCTGTTGATCGCGCTGCTGCTGTGTGGGCAATGGCGACTGTACGGGACTGCCCCCGGATGTTATACTGCTTGGTGAGCCGCTGGTTTCATTACTATTATTACTGTCTGTTGTTGCTGATGATGGAATACCAAGTGAGACACCTTTACAATTGATGGCATACCAAGTTTGATTACATGTATTTTACGTGTATGTTATGGAAATGTTTTCGTTTTTTGGCAAAAATTTTGGGACGTTGCATTTGAATCGTCATTATTTGGGGGATTTTGTTTTTATAATTTTCATTCATTAAATGACGATGTTTTTGATTTTGTTAGGAAGTGTTGTTGATGTTTCGGACAAATTGTAGAAGTTTTACATACACACACACAGATATACACAAATTTAGAAACGGGATTGTTTGAGTTGTTGGTTTCATAAACAGGATCATATATGTATATAAAGATTTACGAAATTATAAATATTCACATTTATGAAAAATTGTTATTTAATTTTGTTTCGGTTTGTTTTCGATTATAAGAAAAAGAGAGAGAAAAAAGAGAAAACATAAAAACACACATAGAATATGTATAATGTTGAATATTAAAAAAAAAGAAAATATAGTATGCAATTGGATACTAAAAACGGAAAAGAATTTTGGGAAGGGGACTTATGTATGCATGTGGAATAAAGAAACCGTTCCTTTAAGAATTTTTTAAAAGTGTGTTTTGTAAGAACTTTGCGTGTAGTGGAATGTAAGTATAGAGAGAAAATGTTGTGGGAGCAGTCTGTTATAAGAATATATGTGGGATATACTGTTTTTTATGCATTTGAAAATGTCATTAACAGAGTTATAGCCACCGGAAATATCATTGGACCCAACTTTTAATACTTTATAACAGACGATTCTCAAACAACTTTTAACTAAGAACCGTTACTCTTCTTTTTCAACCATTTTTATATTTTTTTTGAAACCTGGATTGGGATAGTATGTGTATCATTAAATATAAAAAGAAGCAAACTCCCTTGGACAGAAGACTTTCGGATGACATTGTAGGAGGGTAAAGATTTACTAAGCCAATAAAAACTACACATTTAACAAGCAAATAATAAACACGTTGCTTTTTTGTTAGTCATTCTCGGAAAACAGAAACCACCAACATATGTGTAGAGGAGTTTGTATAAACTCCACTTACCTGTACCTGAATATTCAACGTCGTCTATTCCAATAATATCGTCATAAATGAATTCATTCTCCTCAAAGTCGGGTTCCTGTGACGAATCAATGTAATACTCAACATCATCTTTAATCTTATTGACCTTAATTAAATAAGACAAAAGAAATGGAAATTCATAAATAACAGAGTTTTTAAAATAAGTCCGAAAAAATACCTGTTCCGCTTCCACATTATCATTATCCAAGAGTCGTAATAATGTTTCCAATTTTGTTACATGGAATTTATGACGATCTACTTTGGATCTCAATTCATCCATTCGATCTTGTTTATCTCGATCCAGACGTTTTTTCTTGCCTGCTAACAGTGATTCTATTTCGCTTTCATACTGATCGATTTGTAATAGCAATGAGTTTATAGAACTTGTCAACCAATTTCCGGCCTCGTCCTTAATACGCTGAGCAGGATCCATTTTTTGTGCAGCACCCAAACCCTCTTTCGAGTAGGCTTTTGTTTTTGTTTCGCGTTCGACAACTTTGAAACGTTCCATTTGCTTTGGGATGTTAAAAGTAACAAATATATTTCATTAACTATTTTGATTATCTGATGGGAAAATACTTACAGTTTCAATAAGTCTTCTATTTTCCAGTAATGAACTTTTATCCTTTATTTCGGCCGAAGCAATCCATGATTTTATTTGATCGCGTAACCTTTGTAGTTTTTTAATTTCCTTTTTGAGATCTGCCTCATATTTTTCCTAAAATTTGAGATCAATGATTAATGAAGCCGTAAGCTCGGTTTGTCCTCATTACTTACCTTCTGATTGCTATTTGTGGCATTATGTACTTTTTTCCAAATATCTTCAAAGGTTTCAACGCCTTCAGCGACCTTTTTCAAACATCGGTCAATTTCTCCTAAACATCAAAATTATTGTACCCACATTCTTTATAAATGACTTTATTGGACATACCTTGCAGCTTTCTCGTCGCAGCCATGGCTATGTAAACAATTGTTTATCTTCTTGATGCAAATGCTTAGACATATCCAGTAGGGACCACAGCAATGCGAAACGTCTCTTTCCCGATTACGCGCAAACTAACGCATACAGCATACGTTGGTGTACCTCTATAGCAATTACAGGTCAGTAAATTGAATCTCTTTACTCTTGCTTTTCATTTACCCAAAAATGTGTTATCTTCGGAATTATTTTTAATAACTGTAAGTAAACATATAATTATCATAAATATATTGATAATATGCAAATTTATGATTGATGCTGTTTGTTAGCATCAAAATATGATTTTGATACATTTTCAAGTTATTCAGTTACTAAAGTGATCTGTTTAATGGTGGGTTGCTTGGTTGGTCAATCGGTCGCTGGCAACACACAAGAAAATGTAAAAATGTCACAATGTAAGAGAGACTATAAAGACGGCCGCACTTTTGGAAGCCCATCGTCATGTTGCGATTTCATATTGGATTACTCTAATTATCCACATTAAATTGTCGATTAATTTACGAATTCTTAAACATGTATTTTCGCCAAAAGTACTTGTGCGCAAAGCCGTAACATGTATTTTCCAATATTATTTACGATTTACATTTGGAAGTAAATTAACAGCGATAGATTTTGCAATAATTGCTTGCTATATCCGTAAATCCAATACTCATGAAACTTTCTATGCATATTTTTTTCCACTCAGTTTCTTCTTTTTTATATTGTTCGTTCGTCGCATTCGTTCTTCTTCTTCTCGAAATTCTTTTATATTCGATGCATCTTTTCATAAATAAATGGCATAAACTCACTTGCCCACGAAAACTTTTTATCTTCCTTGTCTCTGTTTAATTCGTTAACACAATTTTTATAAAATAGTTGTAACAAATTATTGTATTAGTTGTTCTTTTTGCTAATCAATGTTTCGATTTTTTCACTTGTACTTGTATAGCAGATATCCGAGCAAGCCATACTGAATTTAGCGGCGATAATAGGCGGCGTTGAAAAGTTCAGAAAAAACGAAAAGCAACGGCGGTTCAGCGCCAGTCACATAAAAGTGATAGCAAATTTTCTAAATTTGCCATGTTATAGTTCATTTAGACTATTCACAGCTGTATACAATAAAACCAGTAAAAATATCACGTCATTTAAATGCCTTTCCTCTAATGTTGGTTTTTATAAATCAACCATGATAGAAGAATATATGTTGATGCATCAACGCTTGGAAACATTCATATGTCAAAATTTTTTAAGTGCTTTGTCAAAAATAAGTCGATTTTCATATGTTTTCTTATACGACGCAAATCGGAGGTTGTAATGATATGTATTTTTCAACAATTTTTACAAATTTCAATAATTTTTCATTCACGATTTTCTTTATCAAAATTGGGACAATGAACTGTCAAACCAATTTTGAAATTGAAAATATTGAAAGAAAAATTATTCAAATTCGTTAAAAATATTGAAAAATGCATACCATAACAACCTCCGATTGGCGCCGCATAAGAAAACATATAGAAATCTACTTATTTTTGAAAAGAACATTTGACATATCGATGTTCCGAGGTGTTGATGCATATACCTATGGTAGAAGAATATAGGTAGACGCGTCGACACAGCTGCAGGGACAATGAACTGTCAAACCAATTTTGGAATTGAAATTGTTGAATAAAAATTATTTAAATTTGTACAAATTGTTGAAAAACGCGAATTATAATAGGCTCTGAATAACGTAGTATAAGAGAACATATAAAAATCTACTTATATTTGAAAAGACATTTACAATTTTTTGACATATCAATGCTCCCAAGCGTTGATGCATCTTCCTGTATTCTTCTGCCATGCATATACCGCTATTTTTCTATTTTTCATGGTATGAAGACGCCTTGTTCCAAAATACTAGTCAGAATTGTTATCTCTTATTTTCAGTTAAATTGACATTGAATACGTTACAAGAAAATTTTTTTTTTTTTTTAATTGTTTTTTTAATTGTTTAATTTATTGAATCTTTCATATATTTAATGAAAATAACAATAAGGTTTCATATCTTATATACTAATATTTTTATAGGGAGGTTGTCAATACAATCACCCCATATTTTTTTTCATGCTTTAATTATTATTGTTTTTTTTTTTTTTTTTTTTTTATAATATAGATGTGTGTTATTTTGTGGGCTTGTGGATACAGTTATATCCGTGAATTGATGAATAGGTAGTTAAGATTATTTTAGATACAGATATATCTAAGTGAATCGCGGACTACAGAAATAGTCTTACGGATATAATGTTGCTTTGTCTATATCTAATCATCCCGCGGACTACAGTAATAGTCTTATCGATTTCTTCACTAATCTTCCCGCGGACTACAGTAATAGTCTTTTCGATTTCTTCACAGAAGCAGCTTCCAATTTAGCATACTACTACCTGTAGAAGTATAAAAATGGGCGACGTTCAATTGGCCAGACAAGAGCTGAAAATAATGAGAGCGTAAGACAAAAAAAAATAAACTATATGATAGAAAGAGTGTCACGTCTGCGCAGTCTATCGTGTCCTCCGAATAGTAGGAGTTGGCGGGCCAAGTTATTTGGGTGCTCGGATAGTTTGTTTAAGTACTTGCGGCAAAGCTTCTTTATTTCTTCTTCAACAGTAAGTATATTTAGGTCCTTGTGGATGTTTGCGTTCCTTATGTACCATGGTGCACCTGTAATAGATCGAAGAATATTCGACTGTCTTCTTTGTAGTTTACTTACGTTAGAGGCACTAGCTGTACCCCAGAGATGTATGCCATACGTCCAAATTGGCTTTATTATAGTCTTATATAATAGGACTTTATATTCTAATTTAATAGAAGAACGTATACCAATTAACCACTCAAGATTGGCCTTTTTTAGTTTAATTTGTGTGATTTTTGTATCGATGTGTTGCTTCCATGTAAGTCTTCGGTCCAGGTGCATTCCGAGATATTTTACGGTATCTTTCTGTGGAACTTGAGTATTAAAGATTTTTATCGTGGGGCAAAGTTCACGTCTTAGAGCAAAAGTAACATGTATGCACTTGCTAGCATTTACCGATATTCTCCATTTTGTCAGCCAATTTTCGAGAAGATATACATGGTATTGTAGTTTTTCCGACGCAATCAGAGGATCCTTGTGTATGCTAATGAAAGCAGTATCATCAGCAAACGTTGAGGTTAGAGTTTCATTTGTTGTGGGCATATCGGCAGTAAATAACACGTACAGAATTGGTCCTAAGATACTACCCTGTGGGACGCCAGCCAATATTTTTCTCGAATTTGAAAGTATGTCTTTCGATTTAACAACAAACGTACGATTTGACAAATAACTACAAAAAAGTTTATGAGTGTTTTTAGGTAGAGTTTCACAAATTTTGTATAGAATTCCAAGATGCCAGACTCTGTCAAACGCTTGGGAAATGTCTATAAATAGCGCCGAGCAGTACTCCTTCCTTTCGAATGCCATTCTAATGTTTGTGACTATGCGGTGCACTTGCTCAATAGTACTGTGGTTCTTACGGAAACCGAATTGGTGGTCGGGGATAACACTGCTATTTGTAATATGGGGAGTTAACTTCCTTAGTAAAGTTGTTTCGAACAGCTTTGAGAGTATAGATAGAAGACTGATGGGTCTATACGATTTTACCTGCGTTGGATCTTTTCCAGGTTTCGGAATCATTACTATTTCAGATTCTTTCCATACAGACGGGAAGTACCCTACTCGAAGAATGCTGTTAAATATAAATAACAATAATTTAACGGCCGGTGTTGGTAATTTCTTGAGCATGTTTGGAGTAATTCTATCTTTACCCGGGGATTTTTTTAGTTTTATCGAGGCTATAGAACTTTCGATTTCTTTTAGAGAAAATCGTATTGGATTCGGAACAATGTCGTCAATTAAAGGATTTGGGGTAAATACAGATTCAAGATGTTCGGCAAATGCGTTTACTTTTTCTTCTGTAGATCTTGCCCAAGTCCCATTTTCTAGGCGAATTGGAGATTCGTGGGCGATAGGTCTTCTCAAGTTTTTTGTGGCTTTCCATAAGCTGTAGTCAGTTCTCTCTGTGGGATCCAGGTTATTTAGGAATATTTTTAGGTTTCGCTCTTCATTTAATCTGAGTGCTTGTTGTAAGAGTTTTTCACATTCTTTTAGTTTTTCCCGAAACCTAGGTGATCGGTGCTTCTGCCATTCTCTTCTGGCCTTCCTTTTATCAGACACGAGTTTTCGAATGGTCGATGGATTATAGGAATTATTTTCTAGTTTTGAAAATTTAGTGGGAGTGGCAACATTGACAGCGGTGTTGACTATCGAAGTAAATATTTTAACTGCATTGTCAATTTCTTCTCCGGACTTTAGAGGAGTGTTAGAATTCACATGTGTACTGACATATTTTTTGTACTTCATCCAGTTTGTATATTTATTTGGTAGATAATCCGGGGAAGTTGCGAGTTGAACATCATTTAATGTTATTATAGTTGGGGAATGGTCTGACGACAAGTCAAACGAGGGTACCACGGACATTTGTTCCCTCTTAATATTCTTTGTTACCGCAAAGTCAATTAAGTCAGGACGTTTTTGCAGGTCTGAAGGCCAGTAAGTAGGCTGGCCAGTAGATAACACGTCCAGTTTAGCGGACGAAATGGAGTTTAAAAGCTGTCTACCTCTGGGTGTAATAAGTCTAGATCCCCAGAAGGTGTGTTTGGCATTATAATCTCCAGCTGCAATGAATCTACTACCAAGAGATGAGAAAAAGTGTGCGAATTCATCTTTGCTTATACTATGTCTCGGAGGACAATATATTGCAGATATAGCTGTATTAGTTGAAGATAGTGCAACTGTTGTAGCTTGTAGGTGGTCAAACTTATATTCTGGCATGGGGTAATGCTGAATTTTATTAGAAATTATCACCGCTGTGCCACCGCAAGCTCTCCCACTAGGGTGTTTAGTGTCGTATGTACTGTAACCGTTTATTCTAAAACAGTTTCTAGAAGTGAAATGAGTTTCAGATACCAGTAAAATGTGTATGTTGAGTGAGTGAATAAAGTTTTCGACCTCGTGTTTTCCATATAGAGGGTATTGTGAAAATCTGGGGGTTTGCTCTTTAAATGCGGACCTAAAGTAAAATGTCATTCGAGACCAACACAAGAACTAACATTACCGAAAACGATTCCTTAAAATGAAGGGGTTCAAGTCTTTATATGTTTAAGTCCAAGTATAGAAAAATAAATGTAGCATTCCTCTGGTATGGAACGTATATGTTTTTATAAGAACATGAATGCCGAAAATAAAAGATTTATTATTTTTGTAACATCTGCCAATCGAAAATATTTTAGATATGAAAATAGATTTTATTTAAAGAATAACATGGTCGAGTTCGTCAGAAAAAGGGTTGCTAATTAAATTTAGCAAATGAGTTTTGTTTTGCGATGGTCTCTAGAATGAACGCAACAAAAATTAAGCAAATGATTTTCGTAAAAATATCAGTTTTGAGTGACAGTGTTTTTCCGACTTATGACCTATTTTTTCATTTGACTATTGATTCAAAAATTTTTTATTATATGATATTTTTTAACAAATGTTTATTTTATATTTTATCAATGAATTCTTCTCTTTATTTATTTTCACACAACAAATAAACAAAACTTTTGATTGAATTATATTTGTTCCGATGAGCCATGGTCCGATAAAAAAGTATGGTAGAACCATGGCTTAAAAAGAAATGTTACTCAACTTCAAAGCAACTAGGAAAATGCAACTCTGTACTGGAGTCTTATTTTCACACAACAAATAAACAAAACTTTTGATTAAATTATGTTTCCCCATGGAACTAGTTCAATTATTTAGTTACTTAAGTGTTCACTAATATGTAAGCAAAACTAGTCTTGGTATATAGGTACTACGGGTACCTATCCAACAATTACTTTTCAATAAACCAAAAAAAAAAAAAAAAAATTATGTTTCCAATGAGCCATGGTACAATAAATAGGTATGGTAGAGCAATGGTAGAATTAAGAAGGTAAATTCATGCAATCATAAATTATTCATTTGACAACATCTCATTGTCCAAATTTATATTTACAAATCCATTGTATACACACAAAGCAGAAATGAAAACTTGTATTCCATAGCGAAATTTGACAGAAAATGCAGAGATGGGTATGCTTATTTGAAATAACTTTACTTTCTTAATTCTGCCATGCTAATTTTCCCTTTAAGATATAGAAAAAAATTCAAAACCAATAAATTCTTGCTGGTTTTGGAAGAGCAAGTTTTTGTTGTAGCTAATTGCTGATGCGACTAGCTAAGACATCTATCTTGGTGGGTGAGTATTTTTACAATTATTTATGGTTGTGATATATAAAATCGTGTGCATACGCATTAAGTAGTTATGCCACGTGGTACACTTAAATCAAGGTAACCTTATTTCAAATAATAACTTCCACTTCAGCATTTCTGTAACTTACCTTGTAAAATTTAACTTCATTGGAAAAAGGTTCCCGTCTCTGGTTTGTGTATATAGTACGATGGATTCAATATATAAAGGTATATTTGTATGTGAAATATTTGATAATGTAAAGTACGGAGTTATAAGCAAATAAAATACTACAAGCTGGTTTCAAATAAAAATAATTGTTTTATTAACATCTTTAAATCTTAATATAATTACTTGACTTTATATTTATATAAAATGTACAATCATTTCAAATCTAAAAATTTTATTCTTTATCAATCTGATACAGATTTAATAGTGTGATATGATTCTTAAAAGGAGTGGAACTTTTAATTTACATAAAAATATGTATGTAAATTAAAATATCAGCTAAATGTTGTATCAAATTCATTGCGTATTTTTAAGTACATTTTTATTAAATTTTCTATATGAAGTGATGCAGCTGGTAAGCAATGGCCGCCCCCACCACCATCATCGTTTTCCATGATAGATGTCAAGGAGCCATATAAACATTCAATTTCCGATTGACATTGCTGATGTAATAGATGAAAAAATAGTAACGAAATAAGAAAATCAATTGAGTGAATGGATATATCAAATAACTTACCAATATTTTTTGTAAATGGTTGCTCTTCGAATTTGTCAAATCGATTCTTTCCAATGATTTCAACTTCCACATTAGGATCGTTTTTAAGTAAAAAATAGCTTCGGGATTCTCGGTTGATATTTCCAGTTTTTGCAGTTTTGCATCGTATTTAATCTCAACGGCATGCTCTTGTAAATAGTATACTGTTATGTACTCCGCATTTTGGTACTTTTTATCACTTATATCAAATAATGTTAAAATATCCTGTATGTTAAGATTTTTAAAAGAGTATCGCAGCAGAGAGGAACTTAATGGTGGCGGTTTCTTTTGACGGAACTTTTGCATTATATAATCAATGTTTAATTTTGAACTTCGATAAATATTTATTTGTTTGCTAAGAGAAAATAAGTTACGGTATGTTAGCTCAGTCTTTAAACAACTTATTTCACTTCGTACGCAAATATATGTTGAGCAGTGTTTTACAAAAGCCAATATATGTAGAGAAAAATCTGGTAAGATAGTTCTATTTTTTGTGGAAAATTTTACAATTATATAAAACTGTTTACTTAACAGTTCCGATGGAATGTGCATTAACAAAGTTTCACCTTGAGATCTTAATTGTAATTGCCATGTTGTGGCTTGCATTATTGTTAAGAATAGTTTATCTCTGTGTGTTGTAGCGGTTGCGTTAAACTGCAACACCGAATACATATTATGACTATAATTTTCCTCTATATCACGGTCGAATGTTGTTCTTATGAATATATTTTCTTTCATATTTAGACTTTTAATAGTAGACTCCATAAGGTGATATTCAATGTAACATTTGAACATCTTATTCCAGATGTTTTTAGAACCCATTGCTAAAACTTGTTGCTTTTGCCATTCCAAGTCAACAGATTCATGCAGTTGCTTTGGTAACTCCATTAAATTATTAACAATTTGAGACCTGCTCAAAAGTAATTTCATTTTTTTATTTGTCAATGAATATAGGCTATTAAAATTTTCATAGCCCTCAGTAGTCTCCATTGCAGAAATCTCCTTGCTGGACGTATCAAAACATAATCTATAGAAAATGTTGTTAATGCTCAAGCAGATCAATTGTTTTAAACTTTCCACCCATGTACAGGCAACCATGCCACTTATCGCTTTGTGGACTTCTTTAATGGCACATTCTTTTGTTTCTCCCAATTCGTCTTCGCGCAATTCCTTGGAGATTATCAAACTTAATTGTGTTACTTCGTCAGGCTTTGTAATATAAAACGTATTTTCAGATGAATTGTAATCAAAATGTGTGAAATTAGAAATTTGATGTTTCAAATGGTGTATTGAACCAAACATATCTTGACTTTTATACCATATATCCATATGACCAGATTCCAGTAACACTATTAGCAAATTTTTCCTACAATCAATTTGTATACTTTCTATTGTTGCGGCATATGTATTAAGCAGATGTATGGCATATTCTTGGCAACCATCTTCATTGGGTTCCCCATTTTCCACATAAAAATCTATAAAAAAAAACCAGATAATTTTTAGGTACTCCACATGTTGTCTGATATCACTTACCTCCAAGTAAAGCAAAGAGATTTCCTGAAACCGTAAATATGTGAATTTCTTGATTTGGGTCTAATGTTGCCTGTTCTTCGGCGGTACGTATTATATTTCCAATTGATACGATCTGTCTTAAAAACTCAATATTATCCTCATTGGCTATTAATGAAAGCAAAATGTAACGATCGCATGTCCAATTACAATTAAATACATTTTCTATATCAAATGTAATATCATAACTTCGGCGAAGTGCATGTTTAGCAGTAGGACATTTTCCCAATTGTGGTATATCTTGATATACTTCCAATAACAACTGTTTGTTAGATTGTCCGTCCTGGCCACATTTAAGCCTTATAATGCTAAATTGTGCATTGGGACAGCTACAAATGCAGCGTACATCTATTAGCCAAGGAACACAGTGTATTGATTTGACAGAACTAAAATAATATACCCTACCACTTTGCATCAGTAGTAAGGTGTTCATCTCTAATATGAGCATATCAAGTATTTCTTCTCTCTCTGACTCGCCAGGACACATGGGCATGGTTAGGCGAACTTTAGTAAGAGTGGTTCTCTTTGTTTTGCTTGAAGTTTTAAAAACAAAATTCATCAAGTAATTTTCATTCCAGGTAACAAAAACCGATTTCCCCTTTCCAGCACTGTGATTTTTTAGTCCTTTAGCATAAAACATCGTATCATCATCAATTGACCACAGTAAGGTATCAATCTCATCCTCCACCTCTTCTGTAGGGTCATCTTCTTCATTTTTGGAACACGATGTTTGTGATGATATGTCGTACATTTCATAGTCGTTATCATTCATTGTTATTTTATTCGAAATAGATTTATTTTAATTTTGAAATAAACAATAACAATTCAATGGAACCGTTCACTGGGGGGGACTATTAGAACTATAGACAGTTTTTTTTGGTCTACCTAGCTTTGCAGAAAGATCACTTTGTTAATTTAGTTATATCATGTTCATATGTGATATTGAACAACATTGTTGCATAGGTTTGCTACGGATCATGCAACATTAGCTGTACTAGGCATGGCTCTTTGTCCTTTTTTATTTTTGAAAATAAAGCAGAGTTCAATTCGATGATAACGCGAAATATAATTATCCTGCTAATACAAAGAAACAAAAAGGACGAATACATACGTATTGGGAACAGCTATATTCTCAGTGAAATCCCTCATATCGCCAGCAGCCAGAACCTAAGGGAAGAAGAAACAGTATACAATTTCAAGGCTGCAAGTGAATTCTGAAAGCAGAATGTCCCCGACATAGAATACTCTTAACCAGTAAAGAAAGTCGTAAAGTCGGGCGGGGCCGACTTTATGATACCCTAGCTCCACATAACAATTAAAAGTTTTCATGGGAGAATTCAATCAAAGACGCTATGATTATAATTTAAAGTTCAAATGACTAAATATGCCGAAGCATTTGTATCTTGGGAGCTATATACAAATCTGAACCGATCTTGATAAAATTTGTCAAAGCTATTTCTGAGCTGTATTTCATATATTTCCCTGAATATCGTTGTTACGGAGTGCATATTACGGCTGTGGGTAACAAAAATAACAAATCGGATATATATGGGAGCTGTAGCTATATCTGAACCGATCTTCACCAAATTTGACATACTAGCTTCTAGACTCAAGTGCCAATAAAAGCTAAATCGGGCGAAGTTATATATGGGAGATATATCCAAATACGAACCGATCTCGATAAAATTTTGCAAAGGTATTTCTGAGCTGTATTTGATATATATTCCCAAATATTAGTTGTGTTCCAGTACTTTTTTAGTAGTAAAACTAGCAGAAGAGAGAACAGTTCGAAATGTCATTTTCATTTAGGTGTGTTCAAAAAATAAAGGAACGGAAAATTAGCAGAAATGCGATTAAATGTCAAAATTCCAAAAGTAAACTGTCTAAATCGGACTGGTGAAACATTACTGAAAAGGACGTCACAATTTAAAAAAATGAGTATTGAAGACGATACGTGAAAATTAATAATCTATAATAATAATTAATAATCTGATTCCTCATTCAGCCAGTCCTCTTCACTGCTGAAATCATCCAAAAGTGAATACATCAGTTGCTCCATATTTGTTTTTTGCACGACAAATATTAGTTTTTCCTTTAGTTTTTAAGTTGATCATTTTCTTTTTTTTTTGTTGTGACGCGCGAACATTGAAATGTATCAATGCATTTTTCAACCTTGTTAGCCCTGCCAATTAAATGTCAAATTTACAATATCCACATTTCTGCTCGGCCAAATTCATGTAGCTAAAACAAGCAGAAATGTGTACCACTCAGCGCCATTTTTTTCTCGAGAGAGCTGCAAGTTTTGCTAGTTTTTGGAGTACGGGAACGCGTTGTAGCAGAATTAGTACTAATTTTTTAGGTTCTGGAACACAACTATTGTTGCAGAGTGCATATTACGGCTGCGGAAGACTACAATAACAAATCGGATGAAGAATATATATTGGAGCTGTAACTATATCTGAACCGATTTTGATTAAATTTGGCATACTTATTTTCAGGCCTAATTTGGTTGCATGTGCAAAATTCCCTACTATTCGGGCTGATATTACTCGTTTGGTGCACAATAAAGGGCAAATCGGACGAAGATATATATAGGAGCTATATCTAAATTTTTTCCGATTATCTCCAATTTCAATAGGGTTCGTCCTTGAGTCAAACAAATAATTTGTGAAAAATTTCATCTGGATCGGGTAATAAATGCGAACTGTACTTTGTTCACAAAAATACATGGACAGACGGACGGACATGCATAAATCGACTCAGAATGTGATTCTATTTTTTCGACGAAATCGGTAACACATTGTACAATTTCGGGATAAAACTATATTTTCCTACTATTTTATATACAATCTTTTGGATAAACCCCCTATATCCATTCTTGTTTCGCGGGTTTTTCCCAACATAAGAATTTTGTTAAAAAATTAACAAAGTCTATAAGACTCCAGCACAGAGTTGCATTTTTCTAGTTTCTTTGAAGTTGAGCAACCTTTCTTATTGAGCCATGATTTTATTTTAATATGATCACGATTTTGATTACAACAGATTTTTAATGTTTTTTAAACAATTTTCAAATAAATGATAGAATACGCAACTAAATTGGACATGTTGAGCCAAGAAAATAAATTCGATTGGTAGCTCTACTCATGGCTCAATACGAAAGGTTACTCAACTTCAAAATAATTATAAAATGCAAATCTGTGCTGAATTATAATGTTAAATAGACTTTTAAATATGCAACAGTTGGTTTTGTTTATTTTTCATTCTTTAAAAAAATTCTTATATTGGGGAAAACCGCGAAACAAGATTGAATCTAAAATAGTAGAACAATACAGTTTCATCCCAAAATTGTACACATAAAGTGATTTATATAAATAGTGGATCGAACTAATAGTACGTTTATATATTTGAGGGTTAACCCACTGGATTTGGATTTAAATTGTCATATCCATTACTTTTACTTCAAATAAATCCTCTCAAAGAAGGTTAACCCTACAAAAAGTTCTAACGTAAACATGGCATAAGCCAGCCAATGACTTAAGGCAGCCAAAAAATTTCTTCATGTACTCTCGTATGTTGCAGAACTTCCAAGAATTTACTAGTTTTGCATTTTTTCAGTTTGCAATGTTTTAGTTCTCATTTTTTTTTTTTCGAAACAATAGTTGTGTTCCAGAACCTGCAAATTAGTACTAATTAGCACTAATTCTGCTACAACGCGTTCCCGTACTCCAAAAACTAGCAAAACTTGCAGCTCTCTCGAGAAAAAAATGACGCTGAGTGGTGCTCATTTCTGCTTGTTTTAGCTACATGAATTTGGCCGAGCAGAAATGTGCATATTGTAAATTTGACATTTAATTGGCAGGGCTAACAAGGTTGAAAAATGTATTGATACATTTCAATAAAGAAAATGATCAACTTGAAAACTAAAAGAAAAACTAATATTTGTCGTGCAAAAAAAAAAAGAGAAAATATGGAGCACCTGGTGTATTCACTTTTGGATGATTCCAGCAGTGAAGAGGACTGGCTGAATGAGGAATCAGATTATTAATTATTATTATAAATTATTAATTTTAACTTATCGTCTTCAATACTCATATTTTAAATGTTGGCGCTCTTTTCAGTAAGGTTTCACCAGTCCGATTTAGGCTGTTTACTTTTGGAATTTTGAATTTTGACATTTTATCGCATTTCTGCTCATTTTCCGTTCCCTTATTTTTTGAGCAAACCTAAATGAGAATGACATTTCGAACTGTTCTCTCTTCTGCTAGTTTTACTACTAAAAAGTACTGGAACACAACTAATATTGTCCTTCTAACATGGATTCACTTTTGTTGAATAACCGCAAACATTCCATTCATGTCTTATTTTTTTTTTAATTTAGAGAGAAATCTTTTAAAATAAGCAAAATCAATTTTTATTTTATTTTATTTTACTTATTCCATTGTACTAAGGCGACAGTTCATTATTTGAAAAGCGGTGTTGTCATATAATATTGCTTTGCAAAGTGTGTTTATGAAGTCAGCTAAAATCCTGATGCCTCCACCTGAATTCATGTGCATCGGTATGCACACTATTACCATTTCAAATTTATTTGAGGTGGTAACCCTATCGAAACATCTGATTTGTGTTTTTTATTTCAATTGTTGTTGCGCTTATCGAAGACGAAATAAATCCTATATTCTTGATAATTTTGATAATTTAGACACAAAAAGTATAAAGATGTCACGCTTTAGCGGAGCCTTACAGTTAACAGATCTGGATGATTTCATTACCCCTTCCCAGGTATTATATATTACAAATTTTATAAATCAAAGTTAGGAAGAAGAGCCACAAAAGGTATTTCATTTCAGAGATGTAACTTTTTCCAAAAGAAATAAATCCAATAAGAGGTCAATTAATGCAGATTTGTGTGTGAGGATGTTTTTAATTACAATTCTCACATGTAAAAAGTAGGCCACTAAAGATAGTCGGTTTGCATATACATCAGCAGTATAGACCTGTAAGCTCTAATGTTTCCACCAAAAGTCGTATCCGTGTTACTTCATTTTCAAACAATTAAAATCAAATTTGTTTTTGTTCTGTCCAGTTTATGATTCTTTTCTTTTTTAAAGGAATGTATAAAACCTGTCCAAATAGAAAAAACTAAAACGAAGACTGGTGCAAAAATATCCATTCAAGAAGATGGTTATTATGAAGAAACTGCGGTAAGTTTTAACGAATTACATATTGTTATGATGAATTTTAATGAAATAAAACCAATTTTATAACAGGCTGGAAAACAAAAATTACAAAAAGTTGAAATAACTTTGCAAGATTGTCTTGCTTGTTCGGGTTGCATTACATCGGCCGAGGGCGTTCTAATAACCCAGCAAAGCCAAGATGAAGTGACGAAAGTTTTAAAAGAAAATCAGGAATTGAAAGCAAGCGAGAATACAATCAGCCAAGCCAAAGTCATAGTATTTACAGTGAGTCAACAGCCCATTGTAAGTTTGGCACAACGATATGGTCTATCCGTAGAGAAGGCGGCTGAACATTTTAGTGGATACTTGCGACATTTAGGAGCTGACTATGTTCTAACAACAAAAGTGGCCGATGATTTGGCTTTATTGGAATGCCGAAATGAGTTTATTGAACGGTTTCGTGATAATGCTCCGGACAAGCCATTTCCAATGCTATCCTCATCATGTCCCGGTTGGGTGTGTTATGCCGAGAAGACACATGGAAATTTCATATTGCCATATATAGCAACGACACGCTCACCTCAACAGATTATGGGTGTATTAGCAAAACAACTGTTGGGTCAAAAGCTAAACACTCCGCCAGAGAAAATATATCATATAACAATAATGCCATGTTACGACAAGAAGTTAGAGGCATCAAGATCCGATTTCTTTAACGAAGTACTAAATTGTAAAGATGTCGATTGTGTAATAACATCGAGTAAGTAATTTTGTTTATTTGCAGCCCTTGACATGAGTCTAATTTTTTTTGTAATATTTTAGTTGAAATAGAGCAAATGCTGGATGACAAAACCTTAGATAGCTTTCCATGTGCTCCATATGATTGGCCTTGGGGAGATGCAATTTCTGCGGGAGATAATAGTTCACATGTGTGGGCTCACGGTTTAAGCACATCTGGAGGCTATGCTGAATTTATTTTTCAACAGGCAGCCAAAGAGTTATTTAACACTGAATTAGAAACATTGGAATTTAAAACATTGAGGTAAGTCCATATTTCACAGAGGAAAATTTTATTATTTAGTTTTTTATTTATTTATCAGAAATCCCGATTTTCGTGAAGTCTCATTGGAAGTGGATGGAAAATCAGTGTTAAAATTTGCCATTGCCAATGGTTTTCGAAATATACAGAATTTAGTACAAAAATTGAAACGAGGCAAAGTGCAATATCATTTTGTGGAAGTGATGGCATGTCCTTCAGGTAATCATTTACAAAGCTTTCTCAAAACATATTCACACAATAATTGTTTTTTTTTTTTGTTTTTCAAGGATGTATTAATGGCGGTGCACAAATTAGACCTCCAACAGGTCAACATATTCGTGATCTCACCATCCAACTGGAAAAGTTATATAGAGAATTGCCCCAATCACAACCGGAGAATGTGACAACAAAAACAATTTATAATAACTTTTTTGACGGTGCTCACTCGGACAAATCGAAGGTCTTGTTACATACCAGCTATCATGCTGTGGAGAAAATGAACACAGCACTAAATATAAAATGGTGAAATATTCCACGTAGAGGGCAATGTTTGGAAATTTATGTAAATGTATGTTGTAAGCATTTTTAATAAAAGAAATAGGCATATTTTATATTGGCCAAGGTTTGTTTTTCGCATTTATGGTAAAGTTTTCATTGTGCTGTTGGTAACCATTTTTACCTAAATTTCCAAAGAATTTATCTTTTCTACTTAAAGTCAAATTAAGCTATCGCATGTGATCAGAGATCCAAACGGCAGAAATTATTATTCTTGATACTTGAATTTGTTATATAAAGAAAAAAAAAAATACTTAACAATATTCGTTGAGGTCATCCCGATGCTAATACTCCAACTAAACTGGGTTTAAATTGAGTTTAGCTCTAGCTAGGGGAAAATTCTGAAATTTGTACCGAAAGTAGCTCCTGTTATTCTAATCAAAACGACTTCTTTTTTTTTGGGGCGAATCAACGCTTGCCGAGATATAGGCATGGTGCAATTAAATGCTCTGTTCCACAACTTGCCAGAATCTATTTGTTTTGCATTTTTTTTTCGATATCATAAAGGGAAAATCGATTATGGCAGTAAAAACTTTTACATTTTTGCAGTAATGGAAAATACCAAAAGCTAGGTAACCTCATTTCAAATTATAATATCCAGCTCTGCAGTTTTTTGTAATTTATCTTGTCAAATTTCACTACATTGAAAACAGGTTCCCATCTCTGAGTTGTGTATGCACCATAGTAAAAGAATACAGGTAGTCGCATCGACACAGCTGCTGGGACAATAAACTGTCAAACCAATTTTGGAATTGATATTTTTGAATGGAAAATTATTCAAATTTTCGAAAATTGTTTAAAAAAATACATATCACAACAACCTCCGATTGGCGTCGTATAGGTAAACCTATATATAAATATACTTATTTTTGAAGAAACATTAAAATTTTTTCATATATCGATGCTCCTAAGCGTTGCTGCCTGTATTCTTCTACCATGGTATGCACAATACATCTGTAAATAAACATTCTGACATCGATAATTTGTCAAACATACAACTTTAAAAGATATGTAAGCATACGATTGCATGACATTGCCTTCTTAATTTTAATAGGGTTCAAAAGTTGCAAAAATAGCGCTTTTTTGCTACTTCTAAACCTATAATCGAAATAAAAACTACATGTGACCTTTTTTATTATGGATGTGCAAGAATAAATATTTAAAATATAATTGCAGAGGTATTGCAACATGGATATGAAACATCAAACCCTAATATATAACTTCCAACGGAACTAATATTTTTAAATTAACAATCTCACAAGTTTGTCATAAAAAGAAATGTAAACTAAAAAAATTACCAAAATGGGCCACACTGTTCTTTAAGCTTGAACTACGGAACCCCAACAGAGCAACTAGCTTCAGCAGTTCCATTAAGTGAATGAATTGCTATTTCAAAAAATTTGATACGGAGCTGCAAAGCTAAATTATTTGTAAACCAAGAAAATATGACGGAAAAAAGTGTAAGGCAACGGCGTTTGCAAAATAACGATAATATTGGTGAATTAAAGAAGAATAATAAAGAAGCTCGGAAAAATAAAATGTAAGTAGAAATTAATTTGGCCCTCTATGGAGATATTGTGCGAGATAAACAAGATTTGTTTCCCTTTTACAAATGTCAATATGTCACTGTAACCAAAGAGCCTCAAAGTATGCTATATAATTTATATTAATTTAATTTGAATTTTAGACTGATGCAGGGTAAAGATCAATCACTAGCATATACAATATATGTGAATGTGATGGATAATCATGATTTCTATTATGTAGAGATGGTGGGAATATAGTCCAAATATTTTGTTATAGCTCGGGATAGAAGTCCAATTCTACATGTTCACTTTTAGGGAATTTCTAATTTCAATATTTTAAATGACTGAGCTGGAGTCACAAACTCGGAGATTCTATTTTAATTTCCATTTTATGGATTTAAAAATTTAATATATGTACATACATATTTTTTGCTGTGCCGACATTTCCCTTAGTAATAATAGGGCGAACTTACCTTAAAAAGTTTGTACAATTGAACATTAATGGTATTACAATATGAAATTTGTTCTTTATTATAGCGCTGCGAACAATGAAGAGTTACGACAAGCAACCGGTTCATTTAAACATCGTCTATGGACGCGGGCAGTTACTGTCATCTCGGTGGCAGTAATTGTCTACTTCTACAAGATTGGTCAAACTAATGAGACCAAGTTTGCATTGGTTAAAGAAAATCTAGCTTTACGCATGCAAAAATTTAATTGCTCGCAGGAATATGAAAGGGAAATAAAGCAATTTCCCCAGTGTGTACCGACGAAATGTGGACGTTTCGTGGCCGATAAATTAATTGAGCCCAGTGAGGTGGAACAGCTTCTAGAGATGGCTTCGAATGTTATCAATTTGGCGGGCTCATCAGGAGGCGCATCTATATTGGATATTCATTCTGGAGCATTATCATATGGTGATAAATTCCTTAACATCTATCAAATGCCCCAAGCAAAGGAACAAATCACTTCGGAACATCTGAGAACATACAATGTAAGAAATTTATTATTTTATTTATTTAATTTTCTAAATTTGTATTTCCTTTTTGCAGCTGGTTAAGGGTAAAATAAAACTAGCAATAGCCGAACATTTTGGCATTGCAGCTGAACACCTGCATCTGACATATCCTACATTCTTCTCTAGAATAACAAATGCTACGGCCAAAACCGTGCACGATGAATATTGGCATGAACATGTGGATAAGGTATAAAGTGAAGTACAAATAGTTTTTCTCAATTCATGCTAATTTGTATTAATTTCAACATTTCTTTTTAAGGAAACCTACCCTTCATTTCATTACACATCTTTATTGTATTTAACCAGTTTTAATAAGGATTTCAAAGGAGGACGTTTCATATTTGTCGATGGCGAGGGGGAAAATCGCACAACATCGTGTGTTGAACCCAAAAGGGGAAGAGTCAGTGCTTTTACATCGGGTTGGGAAAACAAACATCATGTGGAACAAGTTACCGAAGGCACAAGGTTATTATAATATATAAATTTACTGAACCTACAATTGATATTTGTTTCAAAAATTGCAGATTTGCTGTAACAATATCTTTTAGCTGTGATAAAAAGTTTTCCATTAGTGATCCAAAAATGCCCGCGTTAAAAGAATAAATCTCAATGTTATGTGAGAAATGATGAGCCACTGAGGCGAACCACCGCACCATATATCAATTACTTATTAATGAAAGTATTATTTATAACATTTAGTTCTTAAAATATTATTTGTATACCTATACACTTGAAAATATAGCAATAATAAAAAATAACAACGAAAGTTGTGTACATAATTTCTTATTTGGCAATTTATTACTTAGCTCAATTCTAAATTTTGGAATTTATCGAAATCGTAAAATCCAGCTCGTACTTGACGTCCACCAAAGAAACGGCCATTAAGATCTACCACAGCTGTATAGGGGTTTTTTAGTCAAATATAAAAAGGTTAACAAAAAATGGTATAACATAATGCATTTGCCGCTTACCTTTAATGGCACTTTCCATACGCTTAAATTCCACAAATATCTTGACTGCATCCTCTGGAGTTGTCCCAAATGCTTCATGTATTAAAACTTTGACCACTTCTCCATATTTGGTGTTGCATTCATCTTTCACTTCTGGCTCTAGTTCATCGTCCACATCTCCTGGGCCCACCATGTTCTTCAAGTAGCAAATGGTTTGTGGGGTTAAAAATATCAATATAAATTTTTCTAGGAGTATTTTGGGTGCATATTATTTTACAATAAATGTTTCCCTTATTTTCCATAATTCTATTTAAAGCGATATAGGCAATTAAACCTCTATTTCTGAATGTCCTCCATCGACATGACGAATATTATTTTTTGTAGTGACTTTAATACCAAGTCATAGATTTTAAACTTACCCTCAATAAAACAACTTTACTGGGTGTTTTCATTATCTCAGTAATACTTGGATTTGAATTGGAATCATTTGCTGATGGTGGTGGTGCCGCTGGAGGAGCCATGTTAGCAATTGGACTAGATGCAACAGGGCTACCACTCCCTGCTGCAGATGGCGTTGGCGGAGGCAAGAATACATCACGTTCATGTATAATGCGTCCGCCACGCTTGGAAGTCTTTTCCACTTGCAAAGCCATGGACATACCCTGCTCTTGCTTGCCCAAACCTTGACCATCTTTGAAACCATATTTGGCCATAATTTTGGCCGCAACTGAACTAGCAGAATAGGGTATAGTTACATTCGACGATGGATCGCCCTCATTTGCAATTGAAATTTCCTGCAATGAGGGAGGTGGAGCAATGGCGACACCACCTTTCGCCTGCCCTCCTGTTGTAGTGGGTGGACTATAACGATCTTCGTCGGTTATTCGCTGACCAAAACCACTAAATTTAACTGGCGGTGAATCCCTATTACGTGAATTTCGTCGATTACGTTTACGATCCCTATCACCCTGCTCCCGACCGCGTCCTCTATCACGGTCTTCATTGCGATTTCTATCCTTAAGACTATTGCGTTTCTCCTTCAGTTTTTCATATTCATTTGGCCATGCTGGATCATATTCATCAACAAAATCCCAATCATCAGTTTTTATGTTCTCTAATGAGGGCACCAATGGTTGGGCCTTGATAATGGGCTTTGTGTCTGACGACGATCTGGAAACAGTTATCTCCTCAGGTGTTTGTATTTTCTTTGCCTTTAAATTGACTACTGGTGTCATTAACTGCAGAGACATCAGGAATGTGTGTCGGTTAGTGGGAATCGTTAACAAGACTGTTCCATATACCTACCGGTTTCTTCGGCTGTTCCTTTGTAGTAGCCTTTTTTATGGCCAATTGAGTTTGCAACATTTTAATACCCGAAGACCAGCCATCGATTTGAGAGGCTTTGGGTTTTGTGTCAATATCATCATATAAATCCATTTATTAACTGTTTTAATATTTTTTTCTTTAAAAATAAATGTTTGTTTTGTTTATTGTGATATATTCCCGTATTTTATTTTTCTCCACAAGGGTTGTAAAGATCGACGAAAGTATACACACACTATAGGTTCCTTACTTACAGATAAGCATATGAACAGGGTTACCAACTTTTTCTCCTCTGATAGACTACAACCTAGTGCACACTATAGTTGTGTTCCAGAATCTGCAAATTAGTACTAATTAGCACTAATTCTGCTACAACGCGTTCCCGTACTCCAAAAACTAGCAAAACTTGCAGCTCTCTCGAGAAAAAAATGGCGCTGAGTGGTGCACATTTCTGCTTGTTTTAGCTACATGAATTTGGCCGAGCAGAAATGTGCATATTGTAAATTTGACATTTAATTGGCAGGCTAACAAGGTTGAAAAATGTATTGATACATTTCAATAAGGAAAATTATCTTTTCAGTAAGGTTTCACCAGTCCGATTTAGGCTGTTTACTTTTGGAATTCTGAATTTTGACATTTTATCGCATTTCTGCTAATTTTCCGTTCCCTTATTTTTTGAGCAAACCTAAATGAGAATGACATTTCGAACTGTTCTCTCTTCTGCTAGTTTTATTAGTAAAAAAGTACTGGAACACAACTTATATCAAGTGTAGGAATTAAATGAGTTTGAGGTGTAATCATGGTAGAATTGGAGCAAGTTGAGTTTAGGGGCTATGCTCGGATCATTTTGAAATTTTTACCGCAGGGAGGTATTTGTAACCTGATTACGGCAATGGGGGAAATACCCGGTTATTCGACCCAAAAGATCGGAAACATATCCCGTTCTATGTAACCGATATCAATAAAAAATACCTATCCAACAAGTGGTCACATGACGGGGTTACTGGAACCGGTTTCGGAGAAATTTAGGAAAATTTGCATTCTTGTATGAGTACTTTTTGAAAAACCCATAAAAACTCGAAAATGGACCCATTATAGGGTCCTTAAATCTATACACTATATTATAGCTAACACTATTGCCTTTCCAAAATGGTGTCATATGTGTTGATATCTTTTGTGGCTCCGAAGATATAAGAGATAGAATTCATTAAATTATATTTTTCTCCAGTCTAGATGCATTTGACTTCGACCTTTAAGCTGCAAGTACATAAAAAGCTTGAAGTCAAGGCTAGGCATATTAATGTCAAGTTTAGTGCGACTCTGTCCTCCCTTTGTGAAATATCACAAAATATGCCTGGCCATGACTTCAAGCTTCTTATGTACTTGCAGCTTTATAGCTTTTTTAAGCAACCGGCCTTCGGCCGGGGCTTAAGATTTTCTCCTCTGGGGTATGTCCAACACCGGCTACGCGATCAATAGTTTTCTAAAATTTGTAGTTTTCGTAAGTAGCCGGCCTTCGGCCGGGGCTTGAGATTTTCTCCTCTGGGGTATGTCCAACACCGGCTACGCGATCAATAGTTTTTCTAAAAATTGTAATTGTTGTAAGTAGCCAGCCTTCGGCCGGGTCTTATGATTTTCTCCTCTGGGGTATATCCAACACCGGCTACACGATCCATAGTTTTTCTAAAAATTGTAATTTTTGTAAGTAGACGGCCTTCGGCCGGAGCTCAAAATTTTCTCCTCTGGGGTATGTCCAACACCGGCTACGCGATCCATAATATTCTAAGCATTTAAAAGTAAAACACCCTCTTTTCTAATTAAAACTATTTATATTCTTTTAATTTTATTCACTTTTAATTCTTAAAACGAAATTACAAATTATATTAACAAAGAAAAAACAATTAAAAATTAGAATTAAATTAACAAAATTTACAAAAAATAATAAATGATTTAAACAATAAAAATTTAACAATTAAATTTAATTTTTGTTAAAGGCGCCTTCTTTTTTGGGTGGTGCGTCCTCATCCTCGGAGCTATCCTCAGAAGCACTCACCTCCAACACTATAGAGGGTTCCATTAAATGCATTTGGAATTCCTGCCTTTGCTGTTCAACTTTAGTATTTGTGGGGTCGTAAAGTTGTCCAGCAAAGCGCAGAAATTCCTCAAATGGATTTTTCTGGTTAGCGTTGCACCACCTCAAGAATATAAATGTCTGTATATAACCGTTGAAAAATATTTTTCTACGGTTATATGCAGAAAGTGATACCTTGAGGTGGCGCCATAAACCCTCTATAGTGTTGGTATGGTGCCCCGTCTCGGGATCCACAAAATGCTCCGAGTGATTGACTTTATAATGGGTGTACCCCTCCTCATCCAAGGTGTCATAAGACTACAAAAAAAATATAATATTTATTATAAGATAATATATGTCAACATATTATTTAATCTTACCTTCCAAAAATCGGAAATAATAACTGAACCGGGTCGTATATACTTTTTAATGAGGGGCAGCAAGGTTTGTTTCGAGCGGTCTTCAACGGGAACAATAAAACATTTATTTGTTTCCCGTTCAACACCGCCGAAAACCCATTGCCCCTCAACAGCATGGCCACGGTGAAACTTCCTCCTTCCGATTTTGTATTCGTCGATCTCGACAATTTTACCAGGGCTGCCTATTTGCAAATGCGTCTGGAATGAACTAAAGACCACAACTTCTCTACAGAAATTTTTCCAGTCCACCCCAGTACGCTTATCAATTCTTGTCTCCCGTAATATGTCATTAAGAGGACCTCCCCTCTCAATTCACATAAAACAGAAAACAATAATTTGGCAAATAGAGAGATGAGAGTTATCAAAAAACGTTCATATTCGTAAGGAACGTTTTAGATTACATCTCCCTGGTCGATGGCCCGAAGCTTCTTTTGACACCTCAAAATAAATATAATTAGACACATAAAATATATGAAATATGATTTACTAACCTCCAAATCCACCCATCACAACAATCACCATAACGACACAACTCCATGCAATGTCCCCTATTGCATTTTAATGCACCAACATTAGGAATTAATCCCCACTTTTGCAGTTGGCGAAGGGCACCTTCCGGCAAAAATCCAGTGCGTTGAAAATTAAAAATTTCGTAAATTTCAAATAATTCGACTTGTTCCATCGTAAAGCACAATTTAATTAAAAACTAACTCTTTTTTAACGGTACTTTTTAGGCATTCCCTTTCCACCCACATTCGTAGAAATTCTTTATACCTTGATTCCCTTTCTATTCAATTTCGTAAAAAATACCGTTAAATTAAAAGTAGTTTTTACTCAACAACGAATTAAAAACAAAGCAGATGAACAAGAACGTTAAACCCGACACAAAACTTGGCTTCACTCAAACTGCTTTCATAAGTAACGACTTTAAAAGTCAATATCTTCGGAACTACAAAAGATATCAACACATATGACACCATTAGCTATAATATAGTGTATAGATTTTAAGACCCTATAATGGGTCCATTTTCGATTTTTTTTTTGGGTTTTTCAAAAAGTACTCATACAAAAATGCAAATTTTCCTAAATTTCCAGTAACCCCGTCATATGACCACTTATTGGATAGGTATTTTCATAAGCTTATGATAACCATTTTATTGATATCGGTTACGTAGAACCGGATATAAACCGGATGTTGTATCCGAACTTTTGGGTCGAATAACCGGGTATTTCCCCCACAAAAAAATTACATTGCCGTAATCAGGTTACAAATACCTACCTGCGGTAAAAATTTCAGGTCAATCCAACCATAGCCCCCAAACTCAACTTAAGCCCATACCATGGTGCATACTATATTAATTTTTCACTATCTATAACGTAGATTTAAATACCCGAAGACCAGTCATCGGTATAAATCGATTTAGTTGCTGTTTAATTATGGTAGAAGAATATAGATAGACGCATCGACACAACTGCTGGGACAATGAAACAAATTTGGAATAGAAAATGTTGAATGAAAAATTATTTAAATTTGTAAAATCTGTTGAAAAACTTGTATTATAATCTGACATATAATATATTTTGATATATAATTGTTCCCAAGCGTTGATGCATCTACTTGTATTCTACTACCATGCTGTTTAATATTTTCTTATCTCTTTTAATATATTGAATGTGGTCTCTGGAAAGAACGCTACAAAAATAAAACAAATGATTTTGACTGGTGAGCTCACAATTGTTATTGTATTGTATTTTTTGTAACAATTTTTTATTTTATATTTTATGAATGAATTTTTGCCGCAAATTCCTTTTACTTTTTTCACACAACAAATAAATAAACTTTTGATTAAAGTATATTTTTCCGAAGAGCCATGGTACAATAAAAATTAATGGCATGGCATGGCTCAATAAGAAAGGCTACCTACCAGCTGAATTGAAAGATATAACTGTTCAGATCATATTTTTGATAGAAAATCCGGGCATTTTAGTCATTTGTCCCGCTCTTTAACTGATTTTAAAAACGAGCGAAAATATTGAATATTGAAAACAACTTGTTGCGAATTTGATGCAAAATTGACAGGAAGCGGGCAAAGACTCAGGGCTGTATTTCAGTAGTTTTACGAAGCTGTTCTAATTTCTTATTGTACCACGTAAGAAAGGTTGCTCAATTTCAAAGGAACTAGGAAAATGCATTGTACTGTACTGGAGTCTTAACGTGTCAAATAGGAATTTATTTATTTAGGTATTTATTATTAAGTTTATTTTCATAAAATTTTTATTTTTGGTTCAAAACCACTTAACATAAATGGAAAATTGGGGTTATTCCACAAAATTGAGTCCAGGATAGAAAAACAATATTTTTTTACCCATAGTTGTACATTTTGTCGGACATTAACGTGGAAATTATATATTTCTGTTTCATTTAATTTTAAAATAATTTAATTTCTTTCTTCTTTGTTTAAAATAATACACACAAAGAATAGGGGTACCAAGAGAAAAAAAATTGTATTAAGTAGGTAGATTTATTCTACCTTCTGTTATTGAGCCATGGGTAGAACTATCAGCTGATTATAATTTTTTCCAGAGTGTGCCTGACTTCTGCCAAACAAACAATTTTCAAAATCAGCGATTGCAAGAAACGCAGGACGCTTGTTAAAGATACTATTTTTTAATCAGAATCCAGGCATTTAATTTATATTTTGCAACGTTAAAAGTGAGGAAAAATATTAAATAAATTAGAAAAAGCTGTTGCATCTAATTCGGTGTAATACTGGTGTAATACAGAACGTCGGCATAGCCTTAAGCTGGAAATACATAAAGCGCATATTTGGCAGGCTCAAGTCATCGGCTGGCTTCTTCGGAAATGAACAAAGGAGCCTAGGGCTAAAATCGAACTAGGTCAACCTAAAACTCCTTTGTTCATTTACGAAGAAGCCAGCCGATGACTTAAGCCAGCCAAATATGCGCTTTATGTATTCCCAGCTTTCAGTAGTTTTACGAAGCTGTTTTACCTCCTCCATATACCATGCGATGAACATGGACTACGGTCTATGAAACACATTTCGTCTGAAATACATTTAAAGGTAAGAATACATAAAAAGCTTTTTAAGGTGAGGGTACATAAAAGGCTTTTGGACTTGCTTAAGTCATCGACTGGCTTCTCGTAAAAGAACAAGGGAGTGTTAACAAGTATAAATTATCGGCCAAAATTGAACTAAGTCAACCTAAAGCTCCTTTTGACATATCAATGTTTCCAAGCGTTGATGCATCTACCTGTATTCTATTACCATGGATTCACCCTTAATGTGGGAATACATAAAGCGCTTAATTGGCTGGATTCTTCGGAAATGAACAAAGGAGCCTAACACACAGCGGCTGGGACAATGAACCGTCAAATCAATTTTAAAATTGAAAATTTTGAATAAAAAATTATTAAAATTCGTTAAAATTGTTGAAAAATGCATATCATAACAGCCTCCGCTTGGCGTCTTATTAGAAAACTATTAAAACTCGACGTATTTTTGAAAAGCATTTTAAAAATTTTGACATGTCAATATGCCCAAGCGTTGATGCATCTACCTGTGTTCTTCTACCTTGGAGCCTAGGGAGAAAATCGAACTAAGTCAACCTAAAACTCCTTTGTTCATGTACGAAGAAGCTAGCCGGCTGGCTTTTTCGTAGATGAACAAAGGAGTTTTAGGTTGACTTAGTTCGATTTTCTCCCTAGGCTCCTTTGTTCATTTCCAAAGAAGCGAGTCAGATAAGCGCTTTATGTATTCCCACCTTAAGTGCCGTTCAGCTGATGGTTGTTTATGAATTTATACACGGCAAAAAAAAAAGAAAAAAAAAACAAACAAAAATATTCGAAAATGGAGAAAATATTATGAAGACAATTGATGTTGAAAAGTTAATGTTTATACAATATACAATACAATCCATACAGGTAGGTATCCTTTCTAAAACTTATTCTACTTTGTATAATAAACACAAATTTGTGTGTAAGGGGGAGAATACATAAAAGGGTTTTTTGACTGGCTTAAGTCATCAAGCCGTAGAGGAACAAAGGGGTTTTAGGTTGACTTAGTTCGATTTCAACCCTAGGCTCATTTGTTCATATCCGAAGAAGCCAGCCGATGACTTAAACCAGTTGAATAAGCGCTTTATGTATTCTCACCTTCAGATTAGTTAGGCTAAGCTCTGCAAATTACTATCAGAGAATATCAAAAGATTCACAGAACAATTCTCCATTTATACTTTTTATTTCTCAACAATCCTTAGTTAGGAAAATAATAATTTTTTGTGATTTACATTTTTTGCTTGGTTTATTTTAGCTCAAAGGAAATAAAAGAAACTCTTTTTCGACTGTCTTTTCTTTTTTGTTTTGTTTAATTAAAATTGAAAAAACGCTCAAACCTTTTTTCAAATAGGATACTATGTAAATTTATCACCACACTTGTAGGCATGTTGTTTTAAAATTTTATTCATATTTCATTGAAGTCGACGAAGGAGTTGTTGAGGCGCTATTGAAGGTTTCCATTGGCGGTTTGAATGGTGTCGCTAGACAATTGTTGATGAAACTACAAACGCATTGTATGTACTGTGTTGGATATTTGGTATAGATTTTCACATGTTCAGCATCCTCAAAACAGACAGAGCTCACATCCACGCCTTGTTGCCTTCGATAAGAAATGAAGTTTTCTATATCCTAGAATATAAAAAAGGAAGAAAAGTTTAAATTGGTTAATGTTTGTAAAACTTGTTAAAAAATGTATGTCATAACAATTTCCGATTGAAGAAATATTTAACAATTTTAGACATATCAATGTTCCCAAGCGTTGATACATCTACCTGTATTCTTCTACCATGGGAAAAAATAAGGTAAATTAAAATAGCATGTTCATATTACCGTTTGTTTGTGTAAAAACCCTCATTATCAAGATTTATTTGCTTTATCTGAATTTTTCAACCAGATTAAGCACACTCATTTTAATCTTCTCTAAGGTCGCGTCTTACTATTCCCTTGCTGCCAAACATTTTGTGCAATAAACCCAAAAAATATTTATATTTTAACCTTAAAAAAGAGTATAAAGGTGAAATACATAAATCGTTTCTTACTTTTTTTTATGTATTCTCACCTTAATTCTGTGAACTGTCATATTTCACCCTTATAAAAAGCTTTATGCTTTCTGGCGAGGTTCTAGTCGAATAAACTACGGCGAGAATACATAAAATGCTTTTTTAGCTGACTTAAGTCTTCGACTGGCTTCATCGGAAAAGAACAAATTAGCATAGGGCGTACATCGAACTAAGTAAACCTAAAACTCCTTTGTTCATCTACGTAATGGCGAACCTTTTCAATATTAGAACTCATCTATTATTTTTAAATAGTCTTCAAATTATTTTATAACTATTTACGCAAGACAAGTGTGCATACATTTTGTAAAATTAAAAAAAAAAAAAAGATTGGCTAATGTACTTCGACACCTACATTACTCGTTTTGCGAATTGATATGTCATTTTTTTTAAAAAAAAAATTGGTTTTTTAAAAGTTTTCGTATACGACACCATTCAATAGTTGTTATGATGTGCATTTTTCAACAATTTTTACAAATTTAAATAATTTTTTGTTCGCAATGGCATACTTACCGTATGGGGTATAACAACATCGCCTTTGGAGTATAAAAACAGCTGAGGATATTCATTTGGTTCATTTTTTAAATCATTGAAAGGATTTGTTTGAATTGGCTCGGTTTTACGGAAAAGGCTCTTAAATGCAAAATATGTTTCCTAAAAGAAAAAAAATGGAATTAAAAACATCTTAACTCGACCAACCCCTGTTGTTTTAGAGAAGATAAAGGCATAAAGAAAATGAAAAAATGGAATTAAAAATATATTGATTCAGCTACCACCGTTTATTTTAGGAAAGATAAAAGCATTATAAAACGGAATGGGTTTTACATATGTTCTGTCACTTTCATTATCCATGTGTATTTGCGTGTATAAGTCAAAATTGCCATTTTACATAATTTTTGCTATATTAAATAATTACATTGTATTTTATAAAAAATAAAAATTTTGAACGAATTTTGAATTTATACTTTCACACAACACGGCGGTAAAATAAGAAAGGTAAAGTCATTTCAAATAAGCATACCCATCTCTGCATTTTCTGTAATTCATCTTGCCAAATTTCACTGCATAAAAACTAGGTTACCATATCTGATTTGTGTATTTACAATGGATTTATAAATACATATTTTGACAATGAGTTGTTGTCAAACGAACAATTTTGAAAAAAATTGTAAACATATGTTGCAAGACGTAACCTTCTTGATTCTACTATGCAACAAACAAATGGAAATTTTAATTAAATTATATTTTCGTGATGAAAATAGGGCTCCCTGTGATCAAAAAAAAAAGCTATGTACTTTTCTTATGTAAACAAATATCAGCTGACTTTCATTTTCAATACGTCTTTTTATACATTTTACATCAAATTAATCATGAAAGTGCACATTACCGTACTAAAATATATCAAATATACAAAACATATCATTAATATAAATACAAACGTTTGTACTCACCTCGAAAAACCACATTATGCCCAGTGTTAAGGTTATTATAATTGCAGTAACGCAATGACACTTCTTGCGCTCTTTACCATAAATAGCAGTGACGGCACGATACAAGCCCAGCATTCGCCTTTCGCCAGGAGCAGAGTCTAAAATCATGCCACGCACCTGTAACGGTGTCTTATGTTTGCGTATGGCCAATGATATGTGTTGATACAAATAGGCACCACCATTTGAGAATATATGAAATATAACGGGATGAGAATCGAAATTCATATCATAGATTAGTTTAAGGATTTTCTCGCCAATGGGCAACATTTCGCGACGTTTCCAAAATAGGGTGTCAACTGGTGCTGTATAGCGGACCGTTATTAACCTGGAAATATATAATAATATTAATGATAAAAACAAATAATAATAATAGTAATAATAATATGAAAACCGAGTAGGAAAATATCACAGTTCACACTTAACATGGTTTAGTCCATGGCAAAACAATAAATGTAAACTCATTTGCTAAATTGAATATGGCAACCCTTATCTGGCCAACTCGACCTTGTCATTTTTCAAGTAAAATCTTTTTTTATATCTAAAATATTTTCGTATGACGAGTGGCAGATTTTACAAAAATAATAAATATTCTTTTATTTTCGGTGTTTTTTTGGTACGTAAAAACAATTTTACATTCCATATATCTTAGGAATACTAAGTTTATTTATCTTTCTTGGACTTAAACATATAAATATTTCCAAATCTTCATCTTAAGGAAACGTTTTCGGTGATGTTAGTTATTGTGTAGGCCTCAAATAAGGTTTTACTTTAGGTCCCCCTTTAAGGATCAAATCCGCAGAATTACCAGCTGAAAAATGTTGCCAAAATCTTCCATAATTAAGTCTTACTTGACTTACCAGACTTATATTTTAGTCTTCTGTTTAAGATAATATTCTTACTTGACAATTATACACTCTCAAAGGTGTGAAAATAACAAAATATTTGCTCTGGAATTAATGAAAAACTCTTGTCAGCGTACGGCCATATTTAAGGAAGAACTAGAAAACATAAATTTGACAATGAGGGGACAAAAAAGAATTGTACCAGCAGCTGTGTTGATGCGGCTACCTTTATTTGCCATTACGACTACTTTGTTGTAGCTCATGTATTAATAGTCAAAATCACAAAATGTGTCTGTGAGACTATTGAATAAACAATCGTAAAATCATGAATGAAAAATATGAAATTTTATCTTTTTCCCCTTATTTCGCAGTTGATCCTTGTCTGTTGTTATTTTCCAAATATTGATAGTTTTTCCATATAACTTGGTTGCAACGTCAAAAATGGTTAACATGTTCTGCCATGGTAGAATTAAGAGGGTAAAGTCATTTCAAATAAGCATATCCAAATCTGCACTTTCTTAATCTAACTTTGCAAGTTCGACTGGTTTCCTTCAATGATTTATGTATATACAGGGTGAAATAAAAAAAAAGCAACCAACTTCAGACTGCTGTCATTTCTAAGATACTCGTCCGACAGCTGTTGAAATTATTCCAGTGAAAGCTCATTATATCGATTAAAAGCCTACAAAAGCATTTCAGTTAAGAATTTTCCAGAAAAAAAGTTATTCGTAATGGAATTCAAGCGTGATAGTGTGATTTCTTTATATTTGGCTGGAAAACCACAAGTGGCTACCGTTAGAGCACTTCAGCATTTAAATGTGAATAAATCTTTTGTGTCTCGTACCATCGCTCGTCACCGTGATACTGGCAGCGTAGCCCGACGTCAAGGAAGTGGACGGAAGAAAAAAGCCGCATTAGCAGAAATGGTTCGAAATGTAAAGAAGCGACTTGATCGAAACCCACGTCGTAGTGGCCGAAAAATGGTTCGGGAGCTGAACATATTGCAATACTCCATTCAGCAAATATTGAAAAATGAGCTCGAGGTAAAGCCAACGAAATTCCAAAAAGTGCAAGAACTTACACCGCAACAGAAAGAAAATAGACTCAAAAGTGCTAAAGAGTTGCTTCGCTTGGTTGAAAGTGGTGAACTGCCGAATTTGGTTTTCTCCGCTGAGAATACATTCATTGTCTAGCAGTTTGTAAACTTGCCAAAGAGGTCAGCAAAAAATGTGCACCTTCGGTTGGCCACCAGAACTCAAGCGCCAGCCATGGGGATGGTGTGGGCCGCCAAAACAGCCGATGGTCGCTCTCCGCTCGTATAAATCGACCGTGGCATCAGAATAAATGCCGAATATTATCGCGAACATATTGTGGAGGGTGTACGCAAACATTTTGGTCGCAGACCTTGGGCATTCCAACAGGACTCAGCACGCGCCACCCAAGAATGGTTAGAAAATGAGGTTCCTCGCTTCATTTCCAGCGTACAATGGCCACGGATACAAATCCGTTGGACTATTGTGTCTGGGGTATTTTGGAAAGCAAGGTATGCACTAAAAAATACCAAAGTGTCGATCACCTCAAGCAAGCGCTTCGCCGGGAATGGGCAAAAAAATCGAAGAACTACGCTCGGGCAACGTATGACGGTTTCATTGGCCGTTTGAAGGCCATAATTCGTGCCAGAGGTGACCAATTCGAACAAATCTAAACTTATCCTAAAATTTGATTATATTTCCGATATGTATGGTTTTCATTCAATAAAATTAAACAAAAAATGTAAAAATTATGGCGTTTGACTTTTTTGCATTGAAATTTGACAAGGTAAATTACAGAAAATGCAGAGCTGGGAATGCTAATTTAAAATTCATTGTACCATAATTCAAATAAGCATATCCATCTTTGCATTTTCTGTAATTGAACTTTTCAAATTTCACTGCATACAAAACAGGTTTGTTTAGGTGCGTCAATGTGTCTAACTGTATTCTTCTACCTTGATTGCAATCACAGAACATAAGATAAACAAATCGCCAACATATGGTCTGTTCCAGAACTACAAGAATGTAAAAGTTTTTACTACGATAACCAATTTTCCTTATGATATCAAAAAAACAATGTTCTGTTACAGAACCTGCAAGAAGAGTGTTTCAAATTTTGACAATAAATTATGACATGAAATTGAATTTATATGAACATCTATTTATTGCGCCATGCATGGTAGAAGAATATAGGTAGATGCATCAACGATTGGGAACATTGATATGTTACAATTTTTAAAACGTTTTGTCAAAAACAAGTAGATTTTTATATGTTTTCTTATACGACGCAAATCACAGGTTGCAATGTTATGTATTTTTCAACAGTTTCTGCAAATGTCAATGATTTTTCATTCAAGATTTTCAATTCCAAAATCGTTTTGACATTTCATTGTCGCAGCAGCTGTGTCGATGCGACTACCTGTATTCTTCTACCATGGCGCCATGCTTTGTTGCAGCTGATCATATAGAAGAGTTGCCAACATCTTATTGTGATTGGCATCACAGTATGAAAGATAAACAAATAAAACGTAAACAAATTTTGACATTTTGCCTGATATTAAAAATCTGGCGTAATACCTTATTATTATTGCACCATTGTATTAAAATATCATGAATCATTTCATACATACCCTCGATCTTCATATATTTTCGAATATTTCATTAGGTAACGATCCTGACAACCAGCCCAGCCTAAAAGCATTACAATCGGCACATGTGTATCATTATATACAAAAACAAAGTCATCGGCCTCTCCCGCGGTCTGTTCAAATCCATTATTTTGCTCGTTACGATATTGAGGCGTCGGAAATTTGATTATATACTCGAGGGTATCATTGGGTTTTACAATATTCTGTAATAATTGCTGTTGGTTGTGTTGCTGCTGTTGTTGTTGTGTGGGTGCAGTTGTCGTCGTCAAACTTTTTGTTGCCGGCTTCCGTCCCGTTGGTGCTGCTGATTCGAGAAAACGTCTTCCACCGGAGTGGCCATACTGATTGATATTTTCCGATTTAACCGATGAAGTGGTTGTTGTGGTAGTATTAGTTGTTGCAGTTGTTGCCAAACCAAACATTTTTGTATCGGTCATTTCGATGTCAATTTTTTAATTGAAGGCTTTGCTATTTTGGATATAATCTGAAAAGATGACAATTAATTAGCGGATAATTATGGATTTAAAAATAAAAAAAAATATTTCATGAATTTATTCTTAGAATCTTTAGGTAAATATATGGTAAAAAAAGAAGGTAAAGCCATGCATTCACATGTCTACAATTTTTTTTTTCAAAATTATTCATTTGACAACATCTCATTGTCAAAATGTATATTTATTAATTCATTATACATACATAAATCACAGATGGGAACCTGTTTTCTATGCAGTGAAATTTGACAAGTTAAATTACAGAAAATGCAGAGATGGGTATGCTTATTTGAAATGACTTTACATTCTCAATTTTACCATGGGGCAAATGCAAGACAAAATGATAGAGTAAAACCTATAGTGCGGTTAGATATAACAAATTTTCAGAATTGTGCCTTTTATCAGGATTTATTGCCTAAAGCATTATGAGACGGAATGGGATTTACATATCTGATGTAAATTTTATTATACACATGTATTTTCATTTAACATATGACTCATATTTTTTGCTATCACATATTTGCATATGTTTTCGTGCAACTGCTACATATGAACAATTTGACAAAATTTGACGGATTGAAATAAAAAGCCTATATGTTTTCTGGCCGTTCAATATGTCTGAAAGCCAGAGTTGTATTTAAGACCATTTAATTGTAAGCATAGTAGAAGTATAAAGACAAATAAGCAGATTTGTAAATGTTTTCTTATAATAGGAGGTTGTTTTTATTTCAAAAATTATAAATTTAAATAGATTTTCATTCAAAAATTTAAATTCCAAAATTAGTTTGGCACCTTATTGTCCCAGCAGCTGTGTCGATGTGGATACCTGTATTATTCTACCAGGATTGTAAATACCCATCATTTTAAAAAGCTTGCTTTCAGATGTCATTTCCATAGCATATACTTCATTATAGAAGAATGCAGCTATATGCATCAATGCTTGGGAATATTGATTTATCTAATTTTTCTTAAATGATTTTTCAATAATGAGCAGATTTGTATCACCAATCGGAGGTTGTTATGATATGCATTTTTTAACAACTTTTACAAATTTAAACAGTTTTTCTTTAAAAAATTTCAATTCCAAATTTGTTTTGACACTTCATTGTCCCAGCAGCTGTGCCGATGCGTCTCCCTAAATTCTTCTACCATGATTGTAAATATCCTTCATTTTAGAAAGCTTTGAGCATGTTTAGACAACAAATTCTCTCCATTTCATTTTCATAGTGTATACGTCATGGTAAAAGAATATGGGTAGATGCAATTTCAAAATTTGTTTGACAGTCAATTGTCTCAGCAGCTGTGTCGGTGCGCTTACCTGTATTCTTCTACCAAGGTATACGTCACGTAAATCATATTCAGATATTATTTGACGTATACGCTATGAGATTGACATTTCAGATTCACTGGATTTCGTAAATCTAAATGTACCTTTACTTTTTATACTCTCACCTTTAAAAGGAGGGTATATTAATTTTGTCATTCCGTTTGTAACATCCTTAAACTGGGAATACATAAATCGCTTATCTGGCTGGCTTCTTCGGAAATGAATAAAGGAGCCTAGGGCCAACATCGAACTAAGTCAACCTAATACTCCTTTGTTCATCTACGAAGAAGCCAGCCAATGACTTAAGCCAGCCAAATATGCGCTTTATGTATTTCCACCCTTAAATATTCGTCGTAAACCCCATAAAATTCTAAGTCGATACAGCCCACATTATTTGACGTAGAGCTTCAAAATTAGGCAAAACAATTTGTATTGTGTCTAGGATGGTTGATATTGAAAATGAGATATATCGGTCCACGTTATATAACGGTACCGCCCAATATTCCGTATTTTGATGATTTTCGCAATACTTTTTATGAATTTGTCTTAAAAATTAATTTTTGTAGGTCATAATGAGCTCTAGCTCCGGTGGCGGAACATAGTATATATAGGTTCAAATATAGGTGCCCCGATATTCGGTATTTTGATGATTTTTACCACATTTTTCCACGGATTTGTCTAAAAATTGGTATTTGTAGTTCGCAATGGATTCTAGCTCCGGTGGCGAAACATAGTACAGGGTCAGATGAAAAAAAATGCAACCAACTTCAGACTGCTGTCATTTCTAAGTCACTTGCCCGACAGCTGTTAAAATTATTCAATGAAGGCTCATTATATTGTTTACAATCGTACAAAAGCATTTTGGTGAGAATTTTCCAGAAAAAAAATTATTCCTGATGGAATTCAAGCATGATAGTGTGATTTCTTTAGACTTGGCTGAAAACCCAAAAGTGGCTATCGTTAGAGCACTCCAGCAGTTAAATGTGAATAAATATTTTGTGTCTCGTACCATACTGGTGGTAGCGTTGCCCGACGTCAAGGAAATGGACGGAAGCAGAAATGTTTCGAAAAGTAAAGAAGCGACTTGATCGAAACCCGCGTCGCAGTGGTCGAAATGAACATATAGCAATATTCCATTCGGCAAATATTGAAAAATGAGCTCGGGGTAAAGCCATTGAAACTCCAAAAAGAGAAAATAGACTCAAAAGAACTAGAGAGGTGCTTCGCTTGGTGATGGTTTGGGCCGCCATAACAGCCGATGGTCGCTCCTCGCTCGTATTAATCGACCGTGGTACCAGAATAAATGCCGAATATTATCGCGAAAATATTCTGGAGGGTGTATCACAGCCCTGACCACGGAAACATTTTGGCCGCAGACCTTGGACATTCCAACAGGACTCAGGAACATTGCACTCAGCACGCGCCAGCTAGCCAGCCAAGTATGGGTACCTCGCTTCATTTCCAGCTCACAATGGCCACCAAAATCTCCCGATACCAATCCGTTGGACTATTATGTCTGGAGTGTTTTCGACTGCATGGTTGGCACTAAAAAATACCAAAGTGTGATCAGCTCAAGCAAGCGCTTCGCCGGGAATGGGCCAAAATGCCGCAGAGCAACATTCAGGCAGCGTGTGACGATTTCATTGACCGTTGACCGTAATTCGTGCCAAAGGCGAACAATTCGAACAAATCTAAACTTATTCTAAAATTTGAGGCTATTTTCGACATTTTTTGCTTTTATTAAATAAATTTAAAAAAAATTAAAAATTATGGCGTTAGACTTTGTTGCAGTTTTTTTTTATCTCACCCTGTATAATCAAATTCTTTCTATCCGAGAGCATTTTAAATCCACTAAATCACCAATATATTTCTATGTTATATTCCCGGACGATCTTATAAATGAACTGCAAGGTGCAACCCATTAATGAAACCGACTAACATTTTTTTATGTAATACATGTGCACACATCTACACACAACTACACATACATAGTATATAATATTTTCATGTTGAAACACACACTCACACAAAACTTATATGTGACGAAATATATATGTACATATATCTATCGACGATTTTTATATATATTTTCACATTGATTATTATTGACAATTGTTTATGCGGTCCTTTCGATATTATATAGTATAAAATCTACTGAAAGAATGGAAAATTTCCATCAAGGACATGTCTTTGACAATTTTGTTTTGCAAAATATATGACATTTTCTTTGAGGATTTGATGTCCGACATATAGTATAGGTTAACGATTTTGTCTTCATTTCTAATATAATCGGTATTAACCTGTGTTTTTTTTTTCTAAGCTTACCTCAATATTTTTCGCAATTGAGTATTTTAATATCCTTTTTGTTATTTACCAGCAACGACGTATACAACGACCATAAAGGTGTTAACTAACAATATCTTGACCTTCTTCCTGGTTACCGTTAGAATGACAAACACAACAACAAATGAAAACTAAAAAAAAACTATTTCTTTCTATTGCGAGTTCACGAAAATGCTGTGCTTGGCACAGTCCTACCAAGGCTCTGTTGTGCCAGAATGTGTGAAAAGTAAAGGGAAATCATGTGTTTGATGGCTGGTTGTCAGGGTAGCCTCGTGCTCTCTTCAATCCGTTATCCTTTGACTGCTCTCAATTTGCCGTAGTTTTATTTTGCATATAAACGAAGAGAGTGAAAGTGATTTGGAGAGAATTCAAGGCATGCGCAGTTCAAATTTATAAAATTTCCCCTTTTGCAAACATATGTCATATCATAATGCCGGTAATTGTCATAACAAAGATTTGACAGGAATTAAAAACGACAGGAATTTAAAAATATCCCATAAAATGTATGAAAAAATACTGTTACAATTAATATAAGATTCGAATAGTATTTAATATTAAGAAACAAAAAAATCATGCAAAAAATAACAAGTAAAAAAGGTGTAAGTTCGGGCCGGGCCGAACTTTGAATACACTCCTTTATTTGGAACGATTTTGGCAATTCTCAAAAGCTATAAAATTCGTTACAAATTCTGTTAAAATCTTATAAATGAAGAATGTAGCTGTTATATTAGGGTCTACACGACGACATGGACCTACATAGTCAATTTTTTTCATGAGCCAATACAATAGTCAAATGCGAAACTTGAAAAAATCGGTGAATAATCTTGCTAAAATCATCAAAATACCGTTATATGGGGGCTATATGAAGACGTGGACCTGCATAGACAATCTTCTGTCATAGGCTGTAGTATTCGTTACGAACTTCGAATACCAAATTTGAAACAATTCCGGTGAATAATGTCGCTAAAATCATTAAAATACCGAATACCGTGATTCACCGTTATATTGGGGCTCTACGAAGACGTGGACCTGCACGGATAATTTTCTAACTAAGGCTGTACTATATATTACGAACTTCAAATACCAAATTTGATACAATTTCGGTGAATAATGTCGCTAAAACCAACAAAATACCGAATATCGGGATATGTCGTTATATGGGGGCTATACGAAGACGTGAACCTGCACAGACAATTTTCTGTCTTAGGCTGTAGTATCCATTACGAACTTCAAATACCAAATTTCTAACAACTGTGGTAATTAATATCGCTAAAATCGTCAAAGTACCGAATATCGTGAGGCACAGTTATATGGGGGTTATGCGAAGACGTGAACCTGCACAGACAATTTTCTGTCATAGGCCTTAGTATCCATTACGAACTTCAAATACAAAATTTCAAACAATTCCGGTGAATAATGCCGCTAAAAGTTTCGACTATAGGGAGGTGCCATTATATGGGGGCTATAAAAGTTCCGACTATAGGGAGGTGCCATTATATGGGGGCTATACTGAGACGTGGACCTACATGGTCCATTTTCAATACCAAAAGTCCTGCAGACATAATATACATTTGAGTAACATTTTGTCAATCTACTTCATTTCCGTCGGAAGCTAGAGTGACTTCCACTGACGGACATCGCTAAATTGGCATAGAATTTTATGCTGATCAAGAATATATATACTTTTTGGGGTCTAAAATGTATATTTCGAGGTGTTACAAACGGAATGACAAACTTATATATAATATAACACGATATCAGTTTAAGAACTTTGAATACCCTCCACTAATTTTCAAAAAAAAAAAACAAAATAAATAAATAAATAAACAAATAAAATCCGTCAAAAATTCTCTTAAAATCGTATATTAGGGTCTATACGAGGACGTGAACCTGCATAGGCAACTTTTGTCTAATATTACAATATTAGAAAGCGAAACTTGAAAAAAATCTGTTTATAATGTAGCTAAAATCATCAAAATACCGAATATAGGGAGGTACCATGGGAGTTATAACACGTGGACCTGCACAGACAATTTTCTGGCATAGGCTGTAGTATCCATTACGAACTTCAAATGCGAAATTTGAAACAATTCCGGTAAATAATGTCGCTAAAATCATCAAAATATCTAATATCAGGGGGTACCGTTATTTGGGGCTGTACGAAGACGTGCATCTGCACAGACAATTTTCAGTCATAAGCTGTAGTATTCATTATGAACTTCAAATGCCAAATTTGAAACAATTCCGATGAATAATGTCGCTGAAATCATCATAATACCGAATATTGGGGGCACTGTTATATTGGGTCTATATGAAAACGTGGACCTACATGACCTATTTACGAACTGCTGGTACATGTGTGCAAAATTTTAACCTTCTATATCAATTCGTTCGAAAGATAGCGTGATTACAACAGACGTGGCTAAATCGGCTTAGAATTTTACGCTGATCAAGAACATATATACTTTGTTGGGTCTGACATGAGTATTTCGAGGAGTTTCAAACGGAATGAAGAAGTTAATATACCCTCCATAGTATGGTGGAGGGTATAAGAACTCGAGTGGATACTTTTGACGGTGACTCCCTGTATCTTCACTTTGAGAAGTAGTTTGCACTTTACTGTTCTCTTCAAGGTATGACGATATTTGACCGTAAATAATCTTCCCGAAAACTTCATCGGTCACTGATATCTCTGCAAACGGTTTGAACCTTTCGAGTTAGGTTACTTCATGGATCTTTAAAGAATCTGAATATTTTCTTCTTCTAATTATATTGTTGAATATGCTGGTTAACACCTCAGTAAACTCAGATTCTTTATTTATTTTTGCCATTAACTTACATATGAGATTTCCAGGCTATAATTTGTTTGTCTTCAAGAATCTACTATATATTTTTTTTAATATCAGGGGGAGTCTGTTATAGCAGTAAAAATGTTTATATTCTTGTAGTTCTGGAACATACCATATATACTCAATGGCTACACTTTTAAATTTAATTTAAAACATTTTTCTTTGAGATGACGCTTACAATGCAGAGTACTACGATAATTATGATTAAATTTGTGCCGTATTGTAATGCTAAGCAATATTAAACTATTTAAGTGTTTTTACAACCTCTGTTATTTTAGTATGCTTGAGATGTTATGTCTCTAATATTGCGACCAATCCCACTTTTTCTGCACTACATTTGAAATTGTCCTTCAAAACATTTAAATAATACATCTTCTTATCCATTACTCCTTGGATAAAAACTAAATTTTCTACACAAGCAGCACTCATACAACCTCAAACCGTGCGTTACAGTTAGAATAGTGGGTTTAGGGCTCAAGGCCGTTTTCGCTCTACGTCATACCTTACGTGGTCCATCCGACGCAAACATTTTAAATTAGATTTCATCAGCAAATGTAACAAACTTCCAAAATATTTTTTTTGTGCACCTGAATTAACTATGGCCCGGATATCTTGGTTGTTGATAAGCAGGTGACACTTCACCTCGCGTTTCTTGTAGCCTCTGGTAGGTATAATTAAACTGTTTGGTATAAGACGTAACATAGTCCAGGTAATGGCAGAAGTCTAATATGTCCTGCAGGATGATCCCTAGCTATTTCATCCTTTTGGAAAATCCAATTACTTTGTCATTAACCTTGAACGTAGGGATGTATCTCCAAAAGCTCGTTGCTGTAGTCTTTGTAAACCATATGTACGCACTTCCAAACGTATTATTTTATTTATGTTTGAAACAACCAAACTATCGATTGAATTTAATATGGTTTTATTTAAACTAAATAAAAATGACAAAAAAGTTGAACAAAAATTAGTTTTTATTGTATATTATTATAAAAATATATAATACTTTTGGCACTATTTTTCGCATATCAGTGTATAAAAAAAGTATGTACTTACCACATTCAGCCTTCTTAAATGAAACACCGAATATATTTCTTGTGTTTTTTGTTTCTTTTATTTGGAATTACTTAATTCCATATCAACATTATTACTTTTTGTATTTGTTTTTTTTTTATTGAATTCAGTAAAATTTATTTCATTTTTTTGTTTGTTTTTCATTGGTTTTTTAAATTTTGTATTTAAACAATTTTGTGTGTGTTTACCTCATTTTTTTATTATGATTTTGTTTGGGTTTGTTTCAATAAATGGTTGTTGATGGTTTTTACCTTCTGTTTGTTGTTGGTTTTTTTATTATTATTATATTATATAAGTTACCTCTGTTTAAATTTAAACTTAAATTTTACAAAAAGCAGTGTTTGTTGTTGTTTATATATACCATGATTTTGTAGTTGGTTGATTTTTTGTTTTTTTTTTTGCTGAATGATGTTTTTTTTTTTTTGTTTTTCCATATTCTTATTTATTAAATCTAAATTAAAGCAATGTTTAATATATATTTTTAAATTTAAAAAATAAGTGACTTCTTTTAACATTTTTTAAAAAAAAAAGTTAAAAAATAAATACTAAAATTAATAGTTCGAGATATCGACCCTATGACAAGCTACGTATGTTCATATACATATTATGACTTCTTTATCAGGGATTGAATATGCCAGAGATACACTGGTGGCCAAAACTAAAGCACTTCAAATTACTAGGAGAAGAAATGCCCTGCAACTTTGGGGGGGTCGTAATAGCCGAAATTTAATTATTTTAAAATAAAAAAAATCAAAAAGTTGTTTTAGTTTTGACCAAGCAAAAATTGGGTCATTTTTGTTTTACATATATTATTTTTCATTCAAAATTATTTTTGTATTTTTATTTTAATTTTTTTAAGTGAATATAGTACCTTATTTAGAACTGGAAAAAGAAATTACGATTTGTCTATTTTTTAAAGTTACAGGACATTTATTGTCTTTGCGAATTCTAGTTGCTTTAGTTTTGGCCATGGTAGAAGAATACAGGTAGATGCACCAACGCTTGGGAACATTGATATGTCAAAAAATTTTAAATGTCTTTTCAAATATAAGTAGATGTTTATATTTTTTCGTATGCGACATCAATCGGAGGATATTTTAATGTGCGTTTTCAACAATTTTTACAAATTTAAATAATGTTTCATTCAACATTTTCAATTCCAAAATTGGTTTGACAGTTCATTGTCCCAGCAGCTATGTCGATGCGTCTACCTATATTCTTCTACCATGGTTTTTTGGCCACCATTGTAGTTATGGATAACATGCTTCTTACAATCATATTTTATGTGCAATATGTAAGAGACAGCT